AAGATAATGCCCAAATGCCCATCCTTTAAATATTCACTTGAAACACATACATAATTGTTATAATTAACAATATTAACTTTTGGCAACAGAATATCCACTCTGTGCATTGAAAATTATACACATTAACTGGGATGTGTCCTCATTAAAGTGGCATCTTGTACTTCACTTCAGACATACTTGGTTCCAAATTCGGAAGATTATCTATAGGCATTATATTAATTGTTGTTTTCTAAGTTAATTGGAATTTTTTTTAAATAAATAATTGTCTGGACACAAAGCCACTTTGCTAAAGCTTATAGCTAAAAATACATAGATATTATTTTAAATATTAATTGACACTGACTTAGTTATTGGTAGAAGAAAATCACTGGTAATCAATGGTAATAAACTGGATTATTGTCATTTCTAAGGAGGAAGTGATAGCATAACACAATAATACATACCTAAAAAAATAATCACTGTATGATTATGGAATAAACACCAGTTTCAAGATAAGATGAGAGACAGCACAATCTAGCTCCTATCATTTCAAAATCAAATCTGATGAATGAAATTGGCGGTAGAGTTTTTAATACTAACAAAACAGCAACCAGGCGGAAGTAATGAAGTAGTTCATTCTTAAATCACTCTGAAGAAGGACCATGAGTTCAACAAATCATTTACAAATTATCCAGAAGAAAGACTAAGTTAACAAATCATCATCAAATCACTCTGAAGAAAATTAAGATCAAGAAATAATTTACAAATCACCGTAAAGAAAGTCAAAGTTCAACAGACCATGAAGAAATCACTGTAACAATATTCTTAGTTTAACAAATCACTTAGAAATTGTATGAAATGAGAATGAAATCACAAAAAACTCACTCTTTTGTAACAAATTGTAAACAAATCATAGTCATAGTTTTGGTAGAAAATGATTCATTCATGATTTGTCAGATGAAATGCTTACAAATAACTGAAACAAATCACTTTTAAGTGATTTGGGGGCAATTTGTAGACAATTTATTAGTGATTTGTTTGAGACAATTTTCACTTGGATTAATCTAAATACTTGTTTTCTGAAAATGTTTGGAAATGCCTTACTACTTGATTTGAACGCTTTACTAGTGATATAAAAGGAGTTTGAGCAGATCTAAAATTACAAGAAACCATTAATATTACAAGTAATTAATTGACGAAAATGTATTTCCTTACTATCGGTGATTAAGAAGTATTTCCTGCGGCCCTAGTGTGTAATAACCGTTCAAATGTTGGACAGTCTAAATACGAACAATAACGTAACCCTTGAAAATATTTATCTTTTGCAAACAATCAAATTTATTGTGAGATTCACAATTTATGTCATTAAAACATTAACTGAACGTCATTGATGTAATATAGCAAGTTATTTTAGATTTATTTTTTGTTCCTCTGTTCAAGTGCAGTGAAACACAAGAACTTGCAGCCCTGTTGATTCTTTGCTAATATTAAAAATGGTGTAAGTCAATTTTGACAATTGACAATTTGTATCAAACAGTATAAGATATTGCTGCAATTTAAATCTTACAATCTTACCTTAATCGATAATTCACAATTATATCAAACTATGATATAGACAAAAATAGTAACCAAGGAGCCACCCGACAAATGCTGAACAACCTTGACCGATTAATGTGCAGCAATGCGCTGCAGTGCCTTTATAAATGCAAGTTTTAAATACCAGTCCTGTTTTCTGAAAATGGGGGTTATTCCGTCAAGTAGGGATAGCAGTTCGTAACCAGTTAAACGGATACTCTGTCGCATCGACGGAAATCTGTTGGAAAATCAGTATCAGGTTAAAATGTTCAAACAACGATTTACACTAGACAAAATAGCTAATTAAATCCGTGCTATTTCAGTTTTAGGGGAAATTATCTCCATTTTCTTTCATAAAATTTAGCAATTTTTTAATGTTTGCTTTTAAAAAAACAGAAAAGATAAGAGAGAGAGAGAGAGTACATTGATTTGTAATGCTTTATTTAACTTGCATAATTTCTTTTGTATGGGAATGTGTGGCAAAAGTGGTTCTTGGAATTTAAAGGAAAAGAGAAAGTGGTACAAGTGACGTGAAAATTGTAAGCTGATATAAGATCTCTTGCCATATCTTCAATTTATTACAGATGTGTAACTGATTCACAAAACAATAAGCAAACATTTTTCCCTTAATGTGTTTTGAGTTAAGTTTCTTTTTTATTCATGCATATATTAATAACTGTTTACGTGCGGTTTGGCCCGATCTAAATTAAACAATAGAAGAGTTTGCGCTCGTTCTAACGGTCGCACCGTCAACATATTAACTGTTTATTGGCCTTAATTTTAAGGTTTTCGTGAAAAGTTGCATTCCAATGAAATTTAAAACGCATGATGTATTGTTTTGTGTTTTATAATCGGAATAAGTAAAAATAAACAGATACGAAACTTTTCAATAAGACAATGACCCATATTCTGTATAACAATAACATAACCACTCTTACTCTGTATATATCAATAACATAACCACTCATACTCTGTACGAGGGTCGTTCAATAAGTAATGCAATATTTAGTATATCATAATAAATGTTGAGGCATTTGATTTTATTTTTTCATATTTGAAAAGTTCCATTTAAGATCTACTAAACACAGAAAACCCCACGAGTTTTCATAGTGTCACCGCAAAGAAATTCATTTTTAAAGTAAGCATGGTCACTACACTGAGCTGAAAACTGTTTATACATGATCTCCGCCAAGAAGATGAAAATCAGTGCGTATTTGAAAACTGCGCTTTTTACATAAATCGCCGCAAACCTCATATTTAAGATAAAATTTTTATAAGTGGAAAAAAATAATCTTTAAGGCTGTATTCTTTTCAAATGGATTCAATAATTCGGAAGAAAAAAACAAGGGTTCAGATTTAACAGTCAATATTGTCAATTGAAATTTGTGGGGACATCACAAAATATCGACTTTGTGTGCCACATGTAATTTGAAAATGCTATATTTACATGGAAAGACATTGTTAAAAAACTTAACATTAAATCGTCATTGCATTTTGTAGAATTCCGACAAAGGAACAACATAAAACAATATTTCAACCAGATAGGTGCCCTAAGTTCTCACAAATGTCCAAGAGAGAACATTCGTAAAATGTGCACAAGGTTTACTTAAAAACACATTTTTAAACAAAATTGAAGAATTGATAAACTTGCTTAATGTATGACGAAACATTGATGCTCATAGTCGTTAAATATGATTAATGATAAAAAAAAAATGAGGTATAGCAATAACATAACCACTCATACTCTGTTTAACAATAACACAACCACTCATACTCTGTATATAGCAATAACATAACCACTCATACTCTGTTTAACAATAACATAACCACTCATACTCTGTATATAACAATAACATATCCACCTATACTCTGTATAACAATGACAAAACGACCCATACTAGTACTATTTATAACACATAACGAGCAATACTCTGTTTAACGATAATGCAATGACCCATACTCTGTATAACAATAGCATAACGAACAATACTCTGTTTAACTATAACATAACGATGACATATTATTATATTTTGAACTGAGGTCCAACATTGGGCCAAAGTAACAAAACATTGAGTTGACCTTGGTATGTTGGAATAACGTTTTATCAACGTTGACAAATAAACAAACAGTGTTATACCAACATGGGCCCAACTGGTTGGGCCAACAACGCACCAATGAGCAAAAGGAAATTTGGTCAATATAAATTGCCAACATTGGCCTAACATAACCAATATTGTTGGGCCAACGTTGGGTCAATGTCCTCATGCTATCTGGGATAACAATAACATAACTACCCATACTCCATATAACAATAACACAACCATTCATTCTCTGTATAGCAATAACAAATCGACCCATACTCTATATATAACAATACATACATGTAACCAATCATAAACAATCATACTCTGCATAGCAATAACATAACCAATCATTTTCTATATAACAATAGCATAACCAATCATACTCTGTTTAACAATAACATAAGCAATCATTCTCTGTATAACAATAACATAACCATCCAATCTCTGTATAACAATAACAAAACGACCCAAACTCTATATACATGTAACAAAAATATAACCAATCATACTCTGTATAACAAAAACATAACCAATCATATTCTGTATAACAATAACATAACACCCATACGTATGTAGAGTATACATGTCATATTATCGATATATGCAAGTGATAAGTGTATATTGCTAGATAGATTGATTGTATATTGTCTAACGCCGAGTCGGCAATATTTCGGCTGTGTATATTACTAGAAGTAAGTTGTCGATTGAAAAATCAAAGTCATCAAAATTAACATCAAAGTTTTGTTGTTAGGTTTATATCATTAAAATCTCTTTTTAGTAAAATATCCATATATGAAACAGACATGTCACTGGGATATATCATATCAACATATGAATGGAAATTTACTATTTTCAATTAACATTAATACGTTGTCGATATATCTAAAAGTAGAGTTGAACTCTTCGGAAAGTGTTTTCTTCTTCTTGTGTATACAACTTTGAATAAATTCTGCTTCATATCTATTTGGTTTTATTTTGTAAAAAGTAAAGCCATCATGTTATACTTTTTTTTATTTAAGAGAATTTATACACAAACAAAGAATATAAGCATTGTAAAGTTACAGACTTAAATAAAGTTAAGGGAATTTCATTTGAAAATCATAGCTGCATGAAGATATCCCTTGTAAATAGTTATATTTCCTTTTGTATTCCTTTGACCTAGAGATAATTTTTCTGTGACTAAAACTGAAAGTTATTTAAAATAATATAAAAATTGACATAACTAATTTGATAATGTGTATGTACTCTTACAAGCAATTCCGATTTAATGAGAAACTTACACATTAAAAATAATGTGCATGTTGTACTTTAATCACAAATACTAAACCGAGGCTCTATAAACATTATTCCTGTGTATCATTCACACGAGATTAAAACGAAAGTAGAAATACATTCTTTAGCTGGAAGTCAGATCGGAATGTAGCGAGAGAAAAAACTGACTATGCAGAATAAGACAACAGATGATCCACTTTTACATAACTGCCGTCCAAACTGGCCGGAATGGACGTGTATGGGGGCCAACATATGTGGCCTCTGCAGTACCACCCTATGGTTCCTAGTTCTGCTGCCCCAGGTCTGGAAAAACTTTCGCCAGAAGTCTGTCCTGGGTCTCAGTGTCCTTTGGGGTACTGCTAATTTTACAGCATCGCTGATCAACCTCTGTTTTGTCTACGGATATGCAGAAATTCCCCTTTACGGGAAAATTAATTCTATTTATATGCCTATCTTGGAGTTCAGTATTCTTGTTCAGTTTTGGATCTATGGAGATCAGTACGATAAAAAGCATAAAATCGCATACCTTATTGTCTGTTTGTGTGTGTGGACAACACTCATATCTCTTAACCTGGGATTGAAATTATTTCCGTATATTCAATGGATTGCAATTGGTTTGTGGTGTGTAGAGACATTTCCACAGGTATGGTAAATAAAATTTTTGAAATTTAAATATGTGAAACCCTTTGCTAAGGTCTGTTTTAACACGACTTTAAATCTTTTATTTTAGGTTTTTCTCAACTTTAAATTAAGATCAACCTCGGGACAATCTACACGGTCTGTAGTCATCGCCTCCATAGGTAAAATGACGGATTTCCTGTCAACGTATGGCCTAGTTTTACCCATTCAATATGTCGTCATGACATATTTTTCCAGTAGCGTTAATTACGTCAACGCCATTCAAGTTGTCTGGTTCTATGGTAGGAAGCCAACTCAGAAAAATGAGGACATGGCGGGTAATATCCGGTACAAAGAGTTCACCGTCAATAATGACCAAGTTCCTAACACCGAGAGGGATACTTTGTGTTCAACAAGATATGTTCAACCAAATCTTAGTTACAGAACTAGAAGAACAGTTAGATATTCGTTGATTGCAATGTTTACGAGTTTTCTTTGCCTATTTGCATATGGTATTGTTTGGGCAACTAAATCTTACTATGCGATGTTTGCCCCTATTACTCTTGTCTCTGTGACAGGATTTGCCTTCTTCTGGTACAGACGTACATGGAATTCAGAAACAGTCATCTAAGTTCATACTCTTTTCAAATTCAGAAGATAAAATTATTCTATGCTTATTGAGTTACATGTTTTGATAAACCTAAAATGGAACATAATAATACAGTGATTTACTTTGCCTTAAGCATTTTAAAATTAAAGTTCAGATAACCTACAAGTTTACTCTCTTCACGTGAAATTGTGATATGTATTTGTTCAAAACAATACAATAATATACTTGTAATGTAAAAATACTAGTACAATAATATTTGACATACTTTATTGTATTATGTTTTCGATTATCTGTCCTTCTTGAATTATCTCTAGATATCTGATAAAATGGTTGCTTCATTCTTTTCATCTTTATTTACTTTTCTTTTTTAACCCTTGGCTGAATGATAATTTTACTACATATAAATGTAATATCAATACATTTCAATAACTTATTCTAACTAAATTACTTTAGAAAAAAATCATTAATATTTTTATATATTTTTTTAAGTTTTCTTAAGTAAAAAATTGTGTAAACAATAATCCTATTAAGAGATGCTTTTCAACCAAAATAAATAGTTAGTGTCATATAATTAAGTAGTGTACAAACATTTTTACTAGAATATGTAATAATTTTTCAATACATACATTATACTTGCATGTCAATTGAATCAGTTGAATCGGAGTTCTCATTAAACATCTGTTGTAAAGCACTATAACAATGGATCTTAATGATAGTCTAATAATCATGCCTTCTAACATATTTGAAGGGAGCAACTGTCAAAAATGCCTAAAGACAAAAAATAAAAATAACAACAACAACAACAAATTTTTTAAAAAACCTGTGATCAATATATGCAGGCAGAGTTCAGTGTTGTACGTTTTTGTTTGAAACATTCCTTGAATATTACATACAGTAAATATTAAATAAAGTTACTTTGAATGTTGAAAAATTTACTAGCTGGAGAACAATGTCAACTTCAGCAGCGCTTTGGTGAAAAGTGGGTCAAAATTTCTCTATGGGTGAATGTTTTAATGCTATCCATACCCACATTTTTTTAAATCTTTGTATATACAAGGGTTGTCCCAAAAAGTCGTAGACAACATTGAAAACTTTTTAAACATGCAACCAATACTAACCAAATTTGGCATAGACATAATCTATTCAATCTTCTTTAAAATTGTGAATTCTTAAATATATGTCTTTCATATTAATGATATTAGGACGATTTTACATGAAGGCCTTTAAGGTCTGCCGGCACACGAAAAAAATTCGGAATAATTCACGCATATGCTTTTATAGCATGTAAGGAGTAGAGTACTGTTTGTTAAACGCAGACAATGGGAACAATATGGGCTACGAACAACGTCAAACAATGTGTATTCTATGCTGCTTACAATACAAGGCGATCTTTTGATTAAATTTCGTCTTAAATTTGAATTTACTTTTAAAAAAACGTACAGTAGTGAATTGAAATAAGTCCTTTAGTCAAAAAATGAATGTTAACAGACACGTGTGAAGCAGAAAAAAAATCATGACGTAAAAAGAGACGTAAATTACGCTTGCTTTCGTGCCCTGATGTACATGTACACTTACATGTTTTCTTTATTTTTACATAATTTCTCTTATAAAATATGATATCTTCATGAAACTTGAAATGCATGATAAAAAAATGTTACTTTTTGCTATGACACGGAAAGAAATTTAATTTAGGAAGGAGAAACAAAACTGTTTTCCCTGTCTACGATTTTTTGGGACAACCCTCGTACTTCGATTTTAATTTTTGAGATGAAGGATATGTAGATAACGAACAGTATTCAATCTCAAAGTCCATAAAACAATACAAAATAGGATCAGTGCAAACATTGACCTTCAAAACATTAGAGGTGGGATCAAGTGCCATGGAGGAGTGAGCATCCCCTTGCAGACCGGTCACACCCGCCGTGTTCTCCTTGTCATGATCGGGAAATAACGGGAAAATCCGTCGCCAGCTCAATGTATAAATAATGGACTCACAACCAGTATGAAAAAAGTTAGTCATCCCCCTACTCAGTGATGAATTGTATTTGCTTTTGTATTTTGTATCGACCATAGAACTTACGAAATGATGACTTTAAACGAGACTGCTAATATTCTTGTTTCATCAACTTGTCCGCCAACAACTTACCTCGTTTTAGAAATTGTTCATATGTAGACATTGATCTTGTGTATTGAATCAGCTGAGATATATAAACTCTGTATGCAGGTGATGAAGGTATATTGCTGCAAAAGTAAGGAAAGCTGACGATAGAAAAGTTAAATTCATCACGTTTATCATAGAGCTTGGTTGTTAGATTACAATTAACGTCTTTTCCAAGTAAAATATCCAAGTATAAAAACAGATGTGTCAAACTCTGTGGTATCTTTTATCTCAAGCTCACCAGGATATATCGTATCGACACAGGAATGGAAATTAACATTGTTAATTGACAATGTCGTCGATATATCTAAATGATGAGTTGAAGGCCACAGCAAGTGTTTTCATCTTTTCACGCATAAGATTCTGCACAAAGTATGTTTCATATGAATACAAAAATAAGTCTGCTAATAACGGAGCGCAATTGGTACTCATGGGAATTCCATTAGATTGTTGGAAGACCTGATCTCCAAAAACCCTATAAATATTGTCAATCAGAAACTCAACCATCTTTTGGATGTCAATTTCAGAGTACTTGTGTGTGCAATCAGAATACAAAATAATATTGCAAATGACCAATAACCTTCCTGGTCATTGGTCATTTTGCAAAATTATTTTTGCGTTGTTCCAAGTTGTTCCATTTTTATTGAAAAAGCAGCTGTCAATGATATCAAAAAGCATGGACTTTAATTTATCGTGAGGTTGTGTATAAAATTGAAAAGTCGGAAGTTTTTAAGCTGTTGATTTTGGTAAAATCTTGTGAATTCAAATTGTTCAAAAGTTCTTTGGAATTTTTGAGTATCTACATCTGATTCACACCACTTATTGAATATATTGTTGGACAGTACTTCTGAAGTTTCTCTTTCACTACTGTCAATATCTTCGTGAGGAGTAAGGAAAGAGGCTTGGTTGAATATTTACTGGAACCCGCAATGTATGTTAGTGAGGAGTAAATAAAGAGGCTTGGTTGAACATTTACTGGAACCCGCAATGTATGTTAGTGAGGAGTAAAGAAAGAGGCTTGGTTGAACATTTACTGGAACCCGCAATGTATGTTAGTGAGGAGTAAAAAAAAGGGGGCTTTGTTGAACATTTACTGGAAAACGCAATGTATGTTAGTGAGGAGTAAAAAAAAGGGGGCTTTGTTGAACATTTACTGGAAAACGCAATGTATGTTAGTGAGGAGTAAAAAAGAGGCTTGGTTAAACACTTACTGGAACCTGCAATGTATCTTTTTTGTAAGGATTGAGAACAATAATCAATTACAAAAATACACCTAAGACAGTCATATAAACTGAGTAGGATGCATAAAGAAGGGATGTTTAATGCTGAGACAGGAGACTTTGGATGGAAGCTTTTGTTGTATCCCAGTCGTGACAAGGAGCACACGGGTGTGACCAGTCAGTCGAGAATGCTTACTCCTCCATGGCACCTGATCCCAACTCTTATGTTTTGGGGTGCTTGTTTGCTTTGTTTCTATTTTGTATTGTTTCAATGGACTTTTGAGCTTGGATACTGTTTGTTACCTCCATATGTTTCATTGTTTATCCATAAATTGATCAGGCCTCAGACCATAAACTAAGAACAGACTTAAGTCAATATTTCAATCAACATAACATCTGAAATAATTAAGGTAATGATACAAAATTTTCATCATAGGTTTGAATAATATGTTAGACTAAACTGCATTTTTTTATGTGAATGAACTAAATAAAACTTAAGATATTAAAAAACTAAAATTTTGACTTGAGTTTGTTCTCAGTTTATGGTCTTGGATCCAGATGATTTTTAAGCGTTTGGGACCTAGAACGCACATATACAATAACTGTTATATTAAACTCACAAGTACGTGCCAATTAAACCCAAACTGCTTACTATATGTCCTTGAACATGCAGATATAAACATTGAAGTAAATACGTGAAAAGAAATTAACTTTTAAACTTAAAACATTCATCATAGCATATCTATATAAAAGCTTTATCCATGTTTGTACAGCACTTACTACAAAGCCTCTTGCATCTAGAGCAAACAAATTGGATCGTACATCTTTTTGAATAGTTAATCAATTTTCTTCTTTGTAAGAGAATCTTAAGAGGCTATTATGGATATATTGATCAGAAATATTTATCTTGAACATGTGTTAAGATAGGTATATATACATGTTTAAAATTATTTCTTTTGCCTTTTACAAATGCAAATATTTATAACAATTGAATTGTCTCTCTAGAAAAGAGTAGATTTTTTTAACTTTAGTAAAACCTAACCATGTTTTTCTACTTAAGTTTTAAAATTGATAATGTTTTCACACAACACAAAATGCAGGTCAATATTGCAGCAACCTTATTAGATCAATGAAAATTGATTCGCACACAGTGTTTCAAAGCATAGTGCATGTAAATGTCTGGGGTTTTTTTTAATTGCTCTACAGTACTATTTATTACAAAAAATATAAACAACAAGAATATAAAACAACAAACAAAACAAATTTTACAAGATTGCAAATTGCTCTACTACACAATCTTACAATTATATTAAAATTCTTAAATACATGTGAAAAATATACAATTACAATGTTTTTATAAATTTTTAAATCTTACGTTCCATACAAATGTTTAAACAAATGTTTTATTATAACTTGCTTGTTCTCGCTCATCCCCCCCCTCTCTCTCTCTAAGGTTTCTTCAATAATTTGTACACCAGCAGTAGACAACCTATGATGCAGACACAAGGTTTGTTACTGTTGCTGAGACTAATCTCATCTGAAAAAATATAAATCATGATAAAATGCACAATAAAACTTGGAAGAAAATGTCAAGTGGAACTAGTTATTGACACAATTGATTATTCCATAAAGTCATGGCAGATTTAAAGGGGGTAATAACTTATAATTAGGCAATAGATGTCAATATGTTTGCAATTAAGTAAAATATATTTATCCTTATTAAATTTTTAAGATTAATGCGAATAAAAATTCAAACGTCTGAGAATTGAATGGTTTTAACAGCCATATACCTGTATAAACTAAATATATGTCATCCTTTAAATTTTTAATGTGGTTGGTTTCAAGCTTGATTTTATCTCATAAATTTGCAAACCTTACAGGAAGGTATGCCAAAATATAAGAAGTTTAAAAAGTATTGTTACCCACCTTGAGAGACACATTTGAAATCGAATTCCAGGTATTTGTAGATGCCATAGCACGGGTCTGCCCCAAACATATCATTCTCTACTGTAATAGTACAGCTCTGGCGGCCATTACAGAGTTTCTGTATGACGTGTAGAGAGGATGGAGCTCGGCAGCTTGTGCTGTTGTGTAGACGCTCAATGGCATAAGGGTGCCGACATTTCTCTTTGGACGTTCTTCCAAAGTTAGCCTCGGTCATGTAAATCAGAAGTCCATTACGGCAACTTATGGTGTGTGTCTTCTGCTCACATATAATACCAGACTCTAGTACAAAAAAAAAATTCATCAAAATATATTAACATTATATCCATTTTCTTTCACACCATGGGCTTGAAAAAATTATACAGTTGATATAATAAATAATTATATTTGGATATTTTACTAGAAAAAAACATATATGTCGATTCGATAATTCACAAAAATGATATAAGAAATATTATGCAGCAATATACTTAAAGTTTCAAATTTTATTTCTCTTTAATTCGATACGCAAAATGACGAAATATTTAAAATGGTAAGTTATTAACAAACTTTATGATAAACTTGAAACCTTCAACCTTTCAACTTATGTAGCAATATACCCTTTTCATTTGCAAATATGGACGTTTTTATACTTATTGTTAGGCCATTTTATACACACTGAAATGCAAGAACATGCGTCATTTGAAAGAACTTTATCTAAAAGGATCTAATCTCTCATGTAATTATTGAAAAAAAAGCTATTTTTAGCATATAGGTCACAGTCAATGTCACAAGGTCATACACCTTGATGTCATTTGAAAGAGCTTTATTAGCTGAGTATGCATACCAAATATAAATTTTTATGGTCAAAAGTTATGAACTTGTCAGTAAAAACCTATTTTTAGCATATAGGTCACAGTGAAGGTCACAAGGTCATTGACCTTCATGTTTTTCATAATAAGAATAATTATTTACAAATATGAAGTTTGATCTCTGATTTTTCAAAAGTTATTTGAATCATGACAACAGCACACAAACAGATAAACACACAAACAGACAGGACAAAAACAATATATGCTCACTATTCCATAGCATTCATGCTAACACGGCGGGTGTGAGGTCGGTGATTTCTCACACCTCCATGATATTTGATCCCATCTTTGATGTTTAAGAGGTTCTTGTTTGCTCTGCACCTGATTTTTAATGTTTTATTGGACTTTTGAGCTTCAATACTGCTCATTATCTACATACATGTGTATATTTCATGAAAAAAATATCAAAAATACGATGTCACTTTATAAATTTCATATCATAGACTGACATGTAATGAGTTGCGTGTATCTCTAGACATATTCTTTTTTCTTTCATACAATTTCAAACAAAATATAGCTGTGCAACTTTTCTTTTACATGTTTTTTGAATAGCAAAAACAGAGCTTTGTTCAATGTTATAAAGTCTCATTCTACTGGACCCATTTCAAAAGGGTAACGAATATATGAAGAGTATTGCTACATGTATGCCTCTTCCTATCCATAGTAAACAGTCATTTTAACGTTTTTCATGGGGTTTGGGTTTCATGGGGATGTCTGACCAAAGGTGATTGGTATCGATATATAATTTTAAATATTCACCAATTTCACAGTGAACTTCTTTCCCGGTGTCATCGTAGAATCGTGTGACGCATGCGCCGCAGTAGTCTGGGACACATTGGCTGTTTGGCTTCGACTCACACAGAGTGATAGATCCATTGTAAATACATGGATCCGTGCAGTTAGTGTAAACGTGTTTTCCTGGTGGACACTTTGCTATGAGAAAATCAGAATACATTAAAATCAGCATTCTAATAAAAACAAATTGATAAATGTGGTTTATCCTGACAATTTTTTTTTTTTTTTTTTTTTTTAAATTTTCATTTAAATATCTTACGTTGTGTTATGAGGTATCCCGCACAGAACACCGCCATGGATAGAAGAAACCCTTGTACAGGTACTGCCCGGAGTCCCATGTTAAGTAAAATGACCTTTAAAGTCACTCTAGTTAAATTAGTTTGGATCAGCACCTGTGCAGAAATTATCATTGAAGATAAGATAAGAAAATGCAAATATAATGTAACAAATTGCAGCATATGGCATATTGTAGGATAAGGAATATCCAAAACAGAACTCGGCAATTTTACATCTTGTGATTGGTCATCAACAAATAAAGTTACTTTGTTATCAATGGCGTACATTCCATTTAGGCAAGAAGGCTGTAGCCTACAAATCATTTTCTCAAAAAATAAAAATTTGGTGGAATAAAGGGGCAGGGGAGTTGATAATAAATCGAATCTACTAAATCAGTAAAATTTATTTCCATTGCAAATATCAAAAAAGCATTCTTAGCAATCCGCTCGTATACCTATCCAATTTTGTCTACAGTTTGCTTTATATACATGTAAGGACAAAACTATTCCCTTAGCTTGAATGTTTTAAAGCCAAAGTTCAAGGGAAATTAATATTAAGTTTTATCAAAAGCAACAGGAGTCCATGACATGTGCAGGAAACGAAACTTATAAATTATATTTGGTTAGTAGAAAATTCAACATTTTGTTCGTACCTTGATTATCATGATTATTCAGTGAGGAAGTTTTCATATTTTCTAAGCAGATAAGTTAAGAGTCTAAATTTTGGTAAGTAGTCTTCACATCACTGTATAAAATGTAAATTCGTCTGCAATATTATTTTCACTGGTCAAATTAAAATTGTAAATGTCTGATCTTGCAAAAATGCTCCTTTTAACCCCACCCCCCTACCCATCGAGAGAAAACCCTGTTTACCCACACTTTGCACCTCATGTTGATCTGTTACTTCACACTAGCCTACACATTAGTAGAAAGAAATATACGCCGCTGGTTATCAAGCATTCTGAGAGTATTGACCCCCTAATGTAAACTCGATCTATAATAGCTCTTCAAGCTCATATACCGAAAATCAGTTTAATTTCTGCAAATACATGAAATCACAGAAAACACATGATGATAAAACTTGGATTCCCAATTATGGTCCCACCCTACCCCGGGAAGTCATAATTGAACAATTTAAAGTCTATACTATACCCTGGGATGTTTCCACATAAGTTTCAGCTTTTCTGGTCCTGTGGTTCTTAAGAAAAAGATTTTAAAAGATTTTTTAAAATATATTTCAATGTTAAACTTGGATTCCCTATCCCTGGGAGTTATGATTTGAATAATTTAGAATTTACACCAACCTATATGTATATGATGCTTCCACATATTAAGTTTCAGTTTTTCTGGCCCAGTGGTTCTTGAGAAGATTTTTAAATGGCCCCACCCTGTTTCTGTCTTTTCTTGATTATACATGTATCCCCTTGTAAGGAGACTTGGTCAATTATTTTAAAAATTCAAACTCCTCTTTACCCATGGACACCTTGTATCACATTTGGTTAAAATTGGCCCTGTGGTTCTTGAGAAGATGTGGTCAAAAGTTTACAGACGGACGGACGAGGGACAACGGGTGATCAGAAAAGCTGACTTGAGCTTTCAGCTCAGGTGAGGTAAAAAAAGCAGAGAACCTTTAAAAGTTGTAGAAATGTTGTAAAAAAAAAAATATATCGTAAAAATAGCTGAATTTGGCGAATTGCTGCGATTAAACACGAAGATTAATGAAGATAAAGCCGGGAATGCAAATATTGATACATATTTTACTTAAACAAAAAAATGTTCGTTGAAGAAATTTCATTAAGCTCTGGTTGATCTAAAAACCCTACCTTATTCGTTATTCGCAATTCCAGATCGGTATATTATAAACAGATAACACATTGAGGAAATACCCGACTAATTTTAAACAACCCGGATCGATAAGCATGCTAAACAATGCACTGCATTGCCTGCTGCAGGTTAATTTAAATACTTGTTTTCTGAAAATGTTTGGCAAAACCTTACTTCTTCTTTTAGAACAGATCTTAAGTTACAAGAAATCAAAAATTAATTACGAGTATGTAACGCAAAGAGAATGTTGTTTCTTACGTCAGTGATTAGAAAGATGTTCCTGTTTTAAAACACGAAAACTTTTTATTGGTCTAGTAGAGTCTTTACTGAAACAATTTTGTGACCGTAAAGCTGTATACAGTATATATTGCTGCAATTTAAATGTTAACCGTACGATATTACCTAATCACTTATTCATAATACCAAACTGTAATATACAAGTAGACTTAAAGTAGAGGTACTGTGAGAACTGAGCTCACTAAATAATACCCCACCTCCCATATGGTTATAATGGCAAAGTCCATGTTTTACAGTGGGAGACCCGAAATAAGTGTCAGTTCAAAGTAGATCAAAGATCAAAGTACTTGACCGATTTATTTGCAGCTGTGCGCTTCACATTGCTTTTCGCAAGTTTTAAATACCCGTTTCCAGAAAATGTTGGGGAAAACATCAACATGATCAAGTACTAGGGATGTCAATACCATGCAGTACTGGTTTATTGCACTTGCAGAATTTTCCTCGTATGGAAAAGTGTAGCAGTATTGGTTCTTGGGATTAAAAGGAAAAGCGAAAGTCTTGCAAGCTTTTTGCATATATTAAAGGCTGATATAAAGTCTCCATTCAAATCTTTGATTTATTGCAGTGTGTTGCTGGGGCACGTTTTATATTTAAGAACTTTCGACGAAGACCGAAATTTAATTCTGCTTATAACTTTTTCAATTACATTTAATTGAAAATGATTATAATCTTTTTGAAAGGAATGTAGAAAGAGATAACAATAACAATTTTAAAACATAATCATTATACCACTTGGAAAGTGGGAGGGTATATAGTGATCGGGATGTCCGTCCTTCCATCCGTCCGTACGTCTGTTACGCTTCAGGGTGACCATATATTAATTATCCGCAACTCCTCTTATATCACTGAATGAAACTTTAATAGAATCTTTTTTACACAGTTCCATTGTGCTCCTCCTATTTTACTTTTTTGATCCGACACATATTTTGAGTTTCCCAGAGCCAGGGGATGACAAATCCCATTGCCCGACGCCCAGGGCTAGTGAATTTTAGGAGTGGGCAAGTGAAATTTTATCAACCACTTGCCCGTGGGCAAGTGACTTATCAAAAATAGAATTTATTTGTTAAAGCTGGGCATAAGGGGCTTGTATGATTTACTCAGCATTTGTCTTTCTCTTTTTTGAAAAAAATATCAAAAAATACCGAATAAGTTTATGGTAGGGCAAGCAAAAATTCAGGTAGGGCAAGTCAATTTTGACCATGTACTTGCCCTTGGACAAGTGCCTTAAAAATCTATTTGTCAGCCCCTGCAGAGCAAAGCAACGACACGGTCTTTCTTTCTATATAATATTAAAGGATACTCATCTCTTAGCCGAATCTCCTCCTATACCACTGAACAAAATTAAATGATACTTTCAAAGATTCTTTATTATATAATGCCATTGTGCACTTCCTGCTTCACTTTTTGATCTGACATTTATTTTGGGGTCTCGCAACAATTAAAACATGCAATATGGACTTCGTCATTATAATCATATGGGAGGCGGGGGTATCATTTAGTGAGCTCACTACATGTAGCTGCTCACAGCACCTCTATAAAGTTTATTTTGCAAAACTTTACAATCTACTAAAGTTTTTGGTCTTAGTCGTAAGTTCCACGGTAATCTGGTGACTGATTCTTTTTTTCTTTTGTGTGATAAATTTCGAATAAAGAGATTTTTAATATGAAGCTGGCAAACAGCATTCAAGTTAAAAAGTTCATTTCAAACGATGGAAATCAGGAGCAGAGCAAACACGGACCTCCAAAACTTCAGAGGTGGGATCAGGTGCCATGGTGAAGTGAGCATCCCCTGCCGACCGGTCACACCCTCCGTGTGCTCCTTGTGATAACCGGGGGATATTGAAAATCAATGTCTAAGTAATGGCCATACAATTAGGATGATTTTAACATCCATCAGCATTTGATAAATTGTATTTTCCGATCATTGTCATCAGGTCATTGTATCGACAATAGAATTTGCAAATCGACTTTAAATGTGACGGTTATTATTGTTTCATCAATTTGTTTGTCAACAATTAAGTTAACTTACCTCACTTTAAAAATTCCTCGTACGTCAAGCATACTCTTTCGTATCGAATCAACAGAGAGACAAAAACCCATATGTAGCTATTAAGAGTACATTTCTACATATGTAAGGAAAGTTGGCGAATGAAAAGTCATTTACTTTACTATTTGGCTTTATCATGTAATATAATATAAAAAATATAATTGCAAGGAGCACATGGGGGTGTGACCAGTTGGCAGGGGATGCTCACTCCTCCATGGCACCTGATTCCATTTCTGATGTTTTGAGGTCCACATTTGCTATTTTACCGTCATTCTCAGATCTCAAAGTTTTACATACTTTTTAATAATCTGATTTTGCACCTTAGGAAGAACTAAATGTGAAACCAGGTAAAAAGTAACCCCCCCCCCTTCAAAAAAAAAAAAACAACTGAATTTTCTGACTGCTAAAATGAAAAGCAGAGATGTCTCAAATCCAGATATATTTCACGATGAACTCTAAAATTATGGGATTATTATTTATTTTTTTAGGGCATGATAAATTTCGTCTTTGTGTCATACTTAAATGCATGTTGTACTCTGCTTCCACCTGGCTATAGTATCTATGTCCAACATGGATGTTGACCGGGGGTAAGAATGGGAGTGTCTGGATACACTGGATCAAATAAATGTATATAGGTATGTACATTTTGATGAGTTATGAACTCATGATGCATTCTTGAAGTCATTTTCCCATATTTTTATAAAATTAACATTCAAATCTTTGCTTCAAAAAGATTAATTAGAAATGTGTTTTCAATATAAATTTTCTGACTTATGAAAACCAAAAACGGATACCACCCCCATCCACTTTCTAAATGTCTTATAACTGTGTAGTGTGTACATAATCATACAGTTTTATCATTATCAGATATGCATGAACCATTATCAGTGAGTATAGGGCTAAGTGTGCCACCATTATGTGAAGTCAAAGTAAAAAAATAATATACAGTGAATAAGGTAAAGCAGGGTAGCTATTGATCTCTTGATAAGATATTACTTGTATACACAATAAAAAAAGACATACATGTAATATAAAGAATTTTAATTGTTCAAATAATTTATAAAGTACAACAAACTGTTAAAATATAAATCAAACTTTTCATCATTATTTTGTGTAGAATAAAAGATTTAAGTTCTTGATACCGGTACACATTGATGATAAATAATATGCATGTCATATTGATTATGCATTTCAATATGAAATACAAAAAAAAAAAATTAATAACATTAAATAATCAAGCATTTTAAAACATTATAACAATGAATACTAAAAAATGAAATCACAGAAAAACACATGATGACAAAGAGAAAAAAAATCCTTTACATATAGTTACACAAATTGATGAGATCTGCCACCTCCCTTTGGATCCACACCCCTGGATCACTCAAGTTTTACTGGATCCACCCCTCTAGATCACTGAAGCTTATCTTCACTGTCCTCCATTGACATATCACATGACGTTTCTGCGATCTCTTCCTGAATGTCCTCAGCTTGTTCCTGTTTGGCTATTGCCATGGGTGCCATGGCAACCTGGAGTCCAGTCTGAGTCTGTAGGGCGTCAAACGTTGCCACAGAAACGACAGCCGAGTTGGGTAGTGTATAGGAGACAGGTATTACAATTCCTGTTAAAATCAAGTGAAAATAAAGATTGAGAATAACACATACAATATCAATACATGTATACTAAATGGCATTATGGACCCTCTCTACACCAGTGCTAATGACTTGTGCGGGGCACAAGTCATAATATAAAAGCGGGGGTTAGAGTCAGAGGAATCTTGGATTACACCAGTGCAAACTGCAAAATGTTTTTGGACATTGAGAAAATTATATTGTATAAATTTTTTAATTTTAAGCTTATCTATTTAATTTTCACTATATGGCACGTGGCATTTACCCTCAGGAAAAATATTCAAATACAACACGGTAGCAGTGAATAAAAATCATTGTTATTTCTTCCATAGAGAAAATACATGTAAAAAAACATGTCCGATTAATTCATTTTGGCCTTTCAAAATGTTAAGAATATTCGAAATGATAACAAATTGAGTTATATTCTGCAAATTATTTTTATTTAGAATTTAGATCTAAGGGCAGATCACTCTAACTGCATAAAAATATCAGAAAATCAGAACTCTTTATTGTACAGTGTAGAGGGGGTTCTTGAGGTAGATTACAAATTTGTAAAAATTTTGCAATGATAAAATAATGCATATGTCATTCATGATTGGTATAAAACATTTGAATGTTATGTAGTCAGAGGAATCCGGGTTAAATTTATTGACAAACTGTCTTTACACCTAAGGTATAACTGAGATACTTTGATTTATTCTTGGTTTGTTCATGATACATATGTACATGTATATCATTCTTAAAGATTTAACATGTTTAAAACATCAATAACTTTTTATTTAATGCATTTACATGTATGTTAAAAAGCCTTCTGAAATACCTTGTGACCCTCCTAGGTCATCCCCAGACAGTATAATGTGTCCATCCTCATTTATATGAGCAATCCGGTGTCCTATGGTGTCCGAATTAATCTCCACGCTGACCGGGGTCATCTGCATACCCGACATAGTGACCACTTCCTGCTGATTGACCGCTACGTCGGCCAGAGTCTGAACAGCATGTGTGGCCTCCTGCTGAGGGACGTCTTGATTGACCTACAAGATATAATATTTATATTAGTGTTAATCAACAGACAACCACACTAAATATAGCAGAACTCTGTCATAAACCTACAAACACACAGACCAACTAATTATAAGTATCGGTACTCTGTCATTTATTGACAGACAAACAGACCGACGAATCATATTGGTACTCTATCATTTATATACAAACAGATCAATCATTAATATTTAGTCATTGATCTACAAAAACATAAAACATATTAATAATATCGGTACTTTGTCATCAATCAACAAACAGACAAATTACATCAGTACTTAGTCAATTATTTACAGACAAACAGACCAAAACATCAGAACTTTGTCATTTATTTACGTATAAAAATTCTATTTCTACCTAATTTTCAACAATCTACTCACATGCTTTACATAGTTCAGCAAGTGTAGGCATGTTTTCATTTAATTTAACCAAAGAGAGATAACTCACTGTGTGCACCACCGTGGCCTGAGTGCCGTCTTGTAACGTCACCACCTGATTGGGGCTGGTGTCGATCTGTATGACAGATATCGTCCCATCAGGGTTGTTAATGGTCTGTAACATCGTCTTTTGTTCAGAACTCTCGAATATGTGTAGCAGATCCTCTCTTCCATGGTGTTTGTAGCAGTTGTTGACGATAGTACGAAGAGCTTCTGTCCAGGACACCTATTATACAAGAATTGAAAATGATATTTTATAAGGATAGTGCCTAAAAAGGTGAGTTTTATTTTGTCAATTTAGAAAAATAAAATGCTTAATTTTACAAAATTCTAGACTTGATAAGAAAGTGATAAGAATTCTACATAATCAAAATGAATTAAATGACTAATATTTGTGTTTTTGAAGTGTATTTATATATTCTGATGACAAACTTTCAGCTTTGAAATATTTACAAATATCTACAACTTTTATTCTACTGATCTAGTTCATATCTTCCTGTTTGAATTTATAACACATAACTACATTTATCAAATTCAATGCTGTATAAAATTCATTGTTTCTTGATACTAACCTTTTTCTTCTGCTCTGTCGTTCTGACGTCACTGCGGACGTTTGCCCAGGGGACGTCTCCGGGCCACCAGACCGGGCGACACTCCACCTTACCCCATCCCGGCTTACTACGACCCGTAGAAAACTTCAGCATCTCAGGAATAAATGTTCGCAACTGTGCCTGGAAAGTAAACAGAGTCTCAAATCAACATTCATACATTTGACTTAAACTTTTTCTCCTATGCCATTTAATTTTATTTCTGTATTACACAACATGAGGAAAATATATTCCACAGATAGGTACTGGTTTCATATTATGAATTTTCTTTACTTGCCAACGTAGTTGTGGATCTCAGTTTACAGGTACATGTACTAAATATTACACAGAACTTCTTCAGGAGAAGGGTTTCAATAATAATATATTTATGTCACATTCTTTATCCTACTTGTGGGCAAGTTTAGGTCAAGTTTAGGTCTGTATAAATTCATACTTGTGTCATTTTGTCCACTGAGGTGGGGATGCCATCTATTGACAAGGGTGGTAACTCCTGCATGCCTGTCACGTCCTGCTGTTGGGGGACTTGTTCTGCCAGCGTGGACTCTAAATCCTGTAACACCACCGACTTACAGTTCCTTATCTGGAAAAATATTACATTTACATGAAAAGTAACATGTATCTCATAACAGGTGAATTCTCTAAAACATACTACTTGTAGTAAGTCAGGATATATTCACCCAATATTTACACAATTTTCTGTTACTTTCAATGTCATACATATATATGATTTTAAAAATAAGGGTCAGGCTGACCTTTCTTCTGCAATGTTTATTAATAAAAGCATATTAATATCATTATATGAAACAAAGAATAAAATGTTAAATTTCAATTGAATGACTGGACTGCTTTACCAAGAATTCAACTTTAAATTGTGCTAAATGACAAACGCTTGCATATTATTCCCATTTATCAACATTTCATATTTATTACAACTTGGAATGGACTAATTCATTATAGATAAATATGCAGTCAATTCTCGAATTATCGCCATTCGATTCATCGCCATTTTCGCAATACAGCCATGATTTCTCAAGAACGTTTTTCCTGCTATATAAAATTCTCTTTATAACGCCAAATTCGCATACCGCCACCCTGTTTTCAAAATAAACGTCCATTTTCAAGTTTCTATTATCTCGATATACAGCCACAGGTGCATGTGGTCAGTGAAGCGCGGCTAACTGGTTGACACTGTCCATGTTGTAAAGCATGCAAAGCCAGACGAGGTATATGCAATTAAATAATTAAATAAGAATTTATTTAACGTAAATTGTTATAATAATTTTGTTTTCTGTTTAATAAAAATCATTTAGTCACGGCTTTGCCAGGAAAGCGGTCTTTGTTAAAGAACACCGATAACGATATTATTCTGATGATCTCGGATTTAAACAATGCATAGTTTGCTTAAAAATAATTATACGGTAAAAATTGTGAACTTTTCATTAACAATGACGCCATAAAGAATGAATTTATTCAAGAATTCATTTTATGTACTATCGGCTATATATTAGTTACGACGATCGACCCAGCATGTTTTTTATTAATATCAGATGTGCAGATTTACATGCATACACATGTAAGTGTCTTTATTTCATAACTGCACATTTTGTTTTAGCGAAATTGTACATATAAAAATTACTTAAAGTATTTTCAAATTTAGAAATATGTTTTTATATGCATATACATGTGATAATAAGAATAGAAACGCTAGATGTAAATGGTATTTCTAAGAACGGTAACTTTACTTCCTATTTCCTATAAAAGATGGGAAATTCAATTCATCGCCAAATTCGTTATACCGCCATGATTTCTAAATTACAAAAGGTGGCGGTTTATCGAGAATTAACTGTATTAAAAAATACATCAATATCTGTAAATAAGCCCAAAAAATACACAAATCTGAGTCTGAAAATATAATAAAATATTTCACCCACCACAGTTTCTAATGGCTGGGAGCCAAACACTTTGTAGTTACTGGAATTCTGGGATTTGCCTGGGGTACAACACAAGACGACCGCCTGCTGACCTACACGTGTTGTGTATTCCTCTATACAGGCCTTCAGTTTCCTGGCGGAATCGAAATACAGCAAATCACATAAAATGTGTGTTGAAGTCATAGTCTTCAAGATTAGCAAGTAATCAGAACAAAACAAACATCTGCGTAAATTTGAACACAGGTTACAATACATGGACAGATAATTTTTTTCTGAATACACAAATGGACTTGGATGATCTTTGAAAAATTTTTTTTTATACTTTTGTATACTAGTAGTTCAGATCCATGAAGGTTTTTATGGATCATTCAATATCTAGTACTGATTCATCAAAATAGATAAATAGTATTTACATGTAGCTTCTGATATAATTTTTCATAACAATTTCTGTCTAAATTATATAAACAATAATCTTAAAGATTAGCTGTAAAACATGTGCATGAAAATCAATTGATCATAGCTTTAAAATCTCAAGCTTTGCTACTCCAGATTGGTGCAAAAAGTCACGGAGGCAAAGAAGAGAACCTAGTTACCTGAGAAGTCTCGTTTGTTGCCTTTTTCGTATTGAGGGGTTTGTCTCGAATGCGTGGGGTCGCTTGTGTTTCTTACCGCTGGCTATTGCAGCTGCTGCAGCCATGCCTATTGTACCTACAATACATCACATATTGTTCACCATACTTGCCTAGTTTTCATGGATTTTCAGGGAATTATATATCATATTTTTCCATGAACCCTTTTCTGAACAGATATGTTTTTTATCTATCATTAAATAAAAAAGCTATGTTGAGTCTTGAAGAAAATTATACCTGGATATATAGATATATTATACAGAATTAAGAAAATAGATGATGCTTTTTAATAATGAAGTACGCTTCTAGCATCTTGTATAATGTTCTTGTACTTGTAAATCCATGCTACTACCTGAATGAGCTAGCTGTGCAGTAACTTCATCTGTCATGCCATTAGTTCCCAACAAGTCAGAGGCATCAAACGTGCTCTCGGGTGAGCTGGGCTCGCTCATATCGTCGCTGATCATCCCCGAGTTGATGGAGTTAGTCATGGTAAAGCTACCCTGTATGGAGCCCCCCGTGGAGACTAGGTTGTTCATCATTGGAGCTGGCGCCTGTCAGCCGGGGTCCAGAGAGGGGTAGAACGGGCCAAATAAGTTGTGGAACCTGTAATATAATATTCAGTAAATTAATTAATAAAAGCAATATTATGAATGTATGGGCAATGCAATTAACAACTGTATTGTAGCAGACAGTATACATGGAAACTGTACTGCTTCAATAGTGAGCCAGCTTTTCTATTGATGTGGTAGAATCTCCCTCCAATTTCCAGCAAGAGGTAGAAGCAATGTACAGTGAGCCTGCAAGTTAACTTTGAATGGGTGACCGCTTCATGTTACCAAATTAAGAACTTGAATTCCTGTGGGTTCTTTTAAATTTCCACTGCATTGTGTCTCCAGCTAGGTTTGCTGTCCAAGTCCAAAGGGAAAGATTTGGAGAGAAACATTGATAATTGGTTTGAGCTAAGTGGATTGAGATAATATAAATTGAAGAGCATGAGAACTTGCATTGTACATATAATGTATATGAACTCAAAATGAAGTTATCAAACACTGATTTCTAAAAGTAAAAGTGCCAGTCTTTATCATCAAAACATTTATACATGAAAGATTAGCCTACTAGAATAAAATGGTGACGAAGGGAGGTAATTACATTTTCAAAATGGCTATACTTTGGCAAGTTAATATCAATCCACACGTTTTCTCTTTTACTCGCTACCCTATTTGAACGTGGTTCGTTTGTAATCATTGTTTGTAAACTTTATGAGCACTGCGTGCGCAGGGACACGGGCAGGTGATGGGATTTTGTGGTGCGACTGCGCCACACTCGAGCTTGCGCGAACGGGGGATAGAAAAAGACAGGTGCGACGTACATTACGCTAAAATGAACAAGCCTACAGTCTTTATTGTCAAATTGGGATCGTAAAATTTGTATCTACATGGAACTTAAGCTTAAAGCTTCTATAAATTAACCGGGAAATTAAAAATTACAAATCTGTCCATTTCTGTTTTTCGATGGACAGGCAATGCTATCTGCGTCTGCGCGGACCAAGTGGTGCTATTGTGGCCATTTGCCACTAATTAGGGCTCTCTTTTTTGATGTTAGATTGATAAAAATGTTTACTTAACAACATTTACAAAAATCTCACCAGAAAGGCTTTTATTTCTCGAGAAGGATTCAAGAAGATTTTGTTGTTTACTACACAGGAAGTGGATTTCTCGTTCTTCCGAAAACGCCATCTACCATATCTGTAGCGCGGGAAAAATTCAAATAACTTAAAAATGCATAATATTGAATGACAAATGACTATAATGTATTTTTCCAAAAGTATCTCGATGTTGCTTAAAATTAATAAATAATAAACTTCAGAAAGCAGGAGATATTATATACGACTGGAGCACAGGCACTTATTTCTGTAACATTTAAAAAATAAAATCAATAGTAGAAAAATCTTCTTTATTGACAAAGAAGACATTTTTCCAATTTTAGTCGTTGTCACATCATGCATTGACCTGTAGTAGAACAAACTTTGGTCTAGAAAAATATTTTTTCTTTGTTACCCAATGATCTTGTTTATATAGCTTAAGTAAATTTTGATGTGTTGGTCACAGATTACCGAATGAATGTAGGTTTTTAACTATAGATAGAGCAGATAGATTATATGTTATTTGCTGTGTGGGGGGAATTGGAGAAGAACTGATTTATTTCACTATATATGGAATTTTTAATTGCATTTTTTCAATGATGAAAAAGTTTACAAAGTGGAAAAAAATAATATTTTGCTAATCTGTTTAACAATGATAATAACTTGACCTTTTTTCATGGAAATTTGAAATTTACGTCATTTTTGTGACGTCATTGCTTATGAAAATATTCAGTGCCTTGAAGTCAGCATGTATCCCCCTGTTTTAGAACATGATGATTAAAGTAATTTTCCGCCAAATTTTGATTTGGGGGGCAAATATTGGTTATTACCAAATAAAGTCCTTTGAATCCCTTTGATTCTGGGGGATTTTGGAAATGAATCAGCTGTCCTCGAAAATGTTGGAAATAAATAATCTGTCCTTCACCGACATGAAAATAAGTATTAAATCTGACTCGGAAACCTTTGCCCCTTCCTTCAGAATCATCAAGTTTAACGGCAGGCGCGTAGCATCGTTTCTGAAAGTGGGGGGGGGGGGAGGGCCAGCCAGAGAAAAAGAAAAGGGGGGGGGGGGGCAACCAGACTTTCTATTAACATTCCCTATAAAAAAAAGTGCGCCCCCCCCCCCCCCCCCCGGTTGCTACGCCCCTGAACGGATGAAATATGTTGAATGTATGAACAAATTAATCAATCAATCTAAAATCAAAATCAAATCCTCTTTCTCTTTATGGAATCAATGCGATTTTATACGATCAATATTCTGATTAAAGCCACATGCTCCTCTCCCGATTCAAAAAAAAAAAGTTACGAATTTTCCAGGAACGGGTTAGCAAATAACCACGCACCTTGTGTAACATCCGGGTATCTTGTTGCTAGCAAACAATATGGCGGGCTGCATGTACTTTCCAACTTGAACTTCAGAGATAATTTGCACTGTTTTTTAATTAAATTCCCTTCGCAAAATGGCAAACATGGCAGCTTCAATGAAGGGCCAAAAGCCCGAACTAAAGTTTTATCTTCGTTCGAACAAGCTTCCAGATATATACGAGGTAGGTATTACCTATAGAGGGACAAGTTGAAAAAATGCCTGGACTTTTCATTATTTGAAAGTTGGACTGCGGAAAAATGAAGGAAAAAAACACACCTCTTTAGCTGCAAATATATTCTATATTCTTGAAAAGAATTAAAAGGAACAATTTTTGATAGTTTTTTTTTATGTCGCTTCTAATCTTGGCCGTCTAGGACACAAAATGACAAATTGATTTATCAAACTTTCATACTTCTTCGTCATTGTAATTGATTGAAACACAATAGGATTAAATGCTTTGATATTTTTTATTCCATATACTGTAAACATTTTACATTTGGCTGTGTATTCTTTTGGCGAAACGCAGTAACCGCTAAATCAAGTACAACGCTAAATGTCTTGCACATATACACATAAATAAGAATATGAAGAAATGCGCTTAATCAAATCTACGCTAACTTATTAAAAAGTCAATTTATGCCAATTATCGTACATGCTAAATATAATACGTTTACAGTATACTTTTGAGGAAATGGAGGTTTGGGTTCGCATATCAGTGTTTTAGTCTTCAGTGAGAACATTTTGATATTGTTACAGGCTCTCCTCACAGGCCTAGCAATCATGTGTCCTGATGATCCACTTCAGTTTATCCTGGACAAGCTCAGAGGCCTGAAAGAAAATGGAATTGATGAACTCAACTGGTATTTGAATATTACAAATGCTTGAATGAATAGTTAACAATATAGGTTTTTGTTCTGTCACAATCAATTCTACAAAGCTAGGTAAAGTACTACACACACATATACTATATTATTTCAACTGGCAAAGTAATTTGTTTATAATTTTTTTTTTCAAAGAAGCTGTTAATACACCAGACACCAAATTGAAAATCATGTTGGACTTGGGTTAAGTTTGTGTGCACAATTTAAAAAAAAAATTATAATGCATTCTATATCTGTCAGTCACAACAGAAAAAGCATGACAAATGATCACTTGCATGTAAAACTTTTATGATGATGTTTTTAGGGATATGTTTGTGGAGGAGCATATGAAGCCTCCCAATAAAGTCATCACAGAAAGCAATCTGGAATTCATCTTTAACCTGGACGATGAGAGTATGATTGTAAGTGTTCCAGTGATTGTCTCATTAGGTGTTCAGTATTTTACACACTCAAATTTTTCTCCAAAACTTGATTTTGAAACGAGTCACCGAAATCCATTATTGAATGTAACATCTGAAATTTTATCTTTTATCATTGTTTATATAATAAATATAATTAATGTCAGCCAAATGATTCTTTCCATGATATTTTTTTCTTGGATTCAAAACTTAAGGGAATTTACTACAAAATGTTATGATATTTAGTGCAACACATGCAAATCTAAAGACTTGTAAGAAGTTTATTAATTTTTTTCATGCAATGAATTTTTATTAGGAATAAGTAGAACAGTAGATTTTGCTGTACAGATTTTATTTCATTTTGAGTTATTTCAGCTACGGTAACCTAGCTAGTAGAAAAGTTTGAAAACTTTTACTTTAATAATGCATGACAATACATTTTTCACTAAGAATATAAATGTATGATCATTGATGATTCATTTAATCTATCATGCTAACATGTTCTTCATTCAATTTATCGATGCACATTAAATATGATGGCTGTAAGCTCAAGTGCATAAAGAATTCGATTTACCCAAATCCATTACTTTATTATCAACATATACTAGCTAGTATTCATGACTGACTGCATGTTGAAATCAATTGAAAGTCAGATTTAACATCCGCTAGCTAATTTTGGCTTGATATAATGAAAATGAATTTAGTTTGTTCCATTCTTCTTACCATAAACAACTAGCTTAACTTTGGTATTATAACATAAAGAAATAAATCATGAAATGTTGTCAATCTAAAATGTAATGACGAACTTTATGCTTTCTTTCTATTATTTTTTTCCAAAAGGGATAGAGCACAGGATTTTTTGTTTGATTAAGTTTTATCCACTCTTTAATTCTTATAATTTTTGAAATATTTGTTTTAGGTGATTAGTTAAATGATTTCAAATAATGCAATTTATCTATGTGATTGAATCAAAAATTATAAACTATTTAAAACAATTTATCAAATTGTTCATTCATTTTAATATTTTTTCCCCACTTTTAGGATGAAAAGGACATGGTACAATTGATACACAATCATTAAACTTTTCAAGACATATATCTATTTTTTCCATAATCGCTTTACGCTTAACACAAAAACCAAATATATTACATGTATTATGTTCCTAAGTCTTTGATAGGTACTTTATTTAATAATTATGATAAAAACTTTTCCTGTTAGAAAATTATTTTAAAAAATTATATAAATATCTATTTAATCAATAGCTTAATATGTAATTTTTTTTTTAAATTAACAATTATATTATTGATCAGCTCAAATTCAATGCTTTCATTTAATATTACACTAAAATCTATACATGTTGTACGTGTACATACATTGATTATTACTCGTGTGTATACTTTTAAACTAAATTTTATCTGAACTAATGATGAACAAAAGACCATTTACAAAGGACAATAGCTTGATTAACCAGCTGCTCACATCTTCCCTTTATTCTGCACATTGACTTAATATATGTAACTATATAGCTTATCATTCAATATATAGTATATTCTTGACACAGGTGAACAGGGCAATATTAATACATGTAATATGGTGAAAATTCAGGTTTGCATTTTTTTAATAGAACAGGGTCAGGTAATTCATTTTTAGAATATAATTATTTAACAGGAAACATATTGTAGTGACTACATGCATGCTACATGTTTCTTTAAAATCCTGATTATCAAGCATAAAAATCTCAGGAGGGTAAATCCGAGGGTTTGCCTTTTCCTATGCCCTTCATCTAGGTTTAGAAGAAACAAAGGTTGAGGGAGGGGGTAAATAGCAATCTAAGAATCCATTAATGCAGTAACATTTATATGTTACTCTAGCTACTATACATTATATTGACTGCTTGGTTTTGTTTGGTGATCAGCAACCATCCAACATCAACATGACGGACTTGACTTAATACCGTAGATAGCTAGTTTGAATGCTGTATTAATTTGTAGCCTGAATTTTTGTAGGATTTTATAGACATTCCCGTCAACATTCAGAGAGGACAGGGGTATTTTGGTGGCCGATTTGAAGGCATTACAAAGAGCCGTACAATCTGGGTCTGCTCTGCTCTTAAGCTTTATACTTGTCGTAATTTCTCTCACCTCACACCTATGGAATCATGGTGTCCATCTCTCATTTAACTCATCTCATATGTCGGGCTGCAAACTGACTTTTTGTGAAGAGTTGTGTTCAAAGAGTTGATCAATGTGCCATTTTCTAAAAGAAAGCATTAAAAAAAATGAGATTTTGTTCTGTTAAATAATATCTGAAGTGATGTGAATTTTTGTGATTACAATATAATAGTTAATGCAGGTTCATTATTACGGTTCTAAATATTATGGATGTTAGAAAAGACAAAGTTGAAGAATTGTGTGTTTTCTTCATTTAATATAACACCATCATGAAAAATTGTTGAGTGATAAGCATGATTTTGGTTTCATTGAATTAATTCATTAACAAGAAGGGGTGGGTTTTGGGGTAGGGGCAAAGAATTATGCAGTGTTGCAGCCTTACATTATTGACCAGCAGAGGAAACTTGCATGCGGAAATCACCCTTTAATTGCATGCATGGAACCATAGAGAGAATTGAGCATAGGAAATCACTTTACAGCTTTAGTTCCTTAACTTTCAGCACAAACAGATACATGCATGATTTGAAATTACTAGAGTTTTAGAAAACGGAGTTTGTATAATTTACCCAATTATCCCCTAGTAACATTTTATTGCAGATATGCTATAAATGAAGGAAATTTTTCCCCTTTGGCTTCCTTTAAAGTAAAATGTTAGATTATTTGACTTAATGTCAATATTCCCAATGCACTTATTGGTTACATTATAAATTCACAGTTCAAAACAATTGAAGCTTTAAAGAAAATGTTGCAAATGCATTAATTTTTATTATTAACTTTTAATACTTATTGTACTGTTACTAAGTTCATCAGTTTACTAGGTTAAAACACTACAGTTTATAAATGGCTTTTCTTCAAATTTTGTCAGTGAGAGAGAGAAAAGAAAGAGCCTGAAGTTTATGAATAATCTGAATGCTACATGCAATGATGCATTTATACATTGTATAGTGGACTACAGTAAAACTCGTTTAGTACGAATACTGAATTCACGGATATAGGGAAGTGATTTTGGATCCCCAACTATATGAATTTTATGAATTCCTTATATGAATATAACGAGTTACGGATATAGCGAAGTGATTTCATAGGTCCCTGTGACTTCGTTTAATAACCGAGTTTTTTTGTACATTGTTTATTAATTACGCTTGAAGAGATCTTGCATAAATTCCAAATAAAGCACTTTAGTAACAAATGATTTATCACTAAGGTATCCTAGCTTAAACATTGCCTGACATACAAATAAACACTTTTGCATACATGAGATAATAATGGAAATCAATAAATCAGTTAATTACCAACTGAATTATTAAAGAAAGACATACTAGGTATAGATTAATTACCAGCATAATAGTGATTTCATATTTTAGACAAAAGAAATAAACAAAATTTAACTATTTACGTTCAGATTTTTCCTGATAAATACATACATACAGACATACATACAGGCTTGCCTCCTCAGTTAAGTCAGCTCTTCTCTGGTGTCTTTGGTTTCCTGTCACATGACTTGTCTACTCAGGGTCTGGCGTGCTCTTCAAAATTTCTCTAGCAAAAGCAGGAGGTTCTTAATATCCTCTACTTAATATAGAACCATGGTCTCCCCTAGTTTTTAGATCCCTGAAAGAGTTATGGCCCTTTGTCATCACTGGTAGTCACAGTGAGGAGCTGTAGTAGAGGATTATAGGATAACAGCAAAGGATTATGGGATATATATCTTTCTCTGTCCAGATTATTCTTTTTCGTAGACCCAGCAGATAATAGGCAGATTAACAGAGTTTTTTTTTTTTTTTTTTTTTTTTTAGATATAGAAGAATTAGAAGTGTGATAGAGGTGGGGGACTTCCACTAAATCAATAAAAACAAGTGCTTGTTCATGTCTTATAGTTACTTTGATTAAAGAAATGGCAGTCATTAAATATTAACAAAGATATTGTGTTTGTTAGGTTGTAGTTATAGTGTCTGAGGGATTCAGGTAAATTGTAATTGTACCCGGTATTGATTTTGTGGACAGAATGTAATTTAGTCCCACAAGCAGTTAATTCTTGTAGGGAAGGAGGTGTTCAGATAGTCCAAATAGAGTTAACTGGAATTGTCACATAAAAGATTTTTCGGCCAAATATATTATAATATACAGATTATTGCATTATCTGGAATTTATAAAATGTCAGAATCACAAAAAGTAAGTGGAAAAAATGATTAATACCTATATATTATATAAATTGCACAGGAATATTTATGAAAATGTTTAAAATTTTATTATAAAAATTTTCATATATTTTAGAGGTGCAATAAAAATTAATATGCATATTATATACTGATCAATACACATGCATGTATTCATTTATTCAAATAAAATACTAGTTATTTTTTCTAATTTAATTTCAATTTTAAGTTATGAACATTTAAAAAAGTAAAAAATTATCAGTTTTATTTAACTTTTTTGGTTACTTTGTGTTTTTAATTTTTTCCTTAAGTTTATGGTTCTTGGATAAATTTATTTCTGTTTTGATTTTAATGACATGTAGATGTATCATTTCCCATTTTAATTTACATTTATTAATCAAGTATCTATAAATCATTCAATGCAAAAATCTAATTCTTGATTTATCTGATTTCTGTAGCCCACCCCAGAAATGTACGCCACAGCCTACGGCCATTACAACATGAGTCTTAAAAACATGTGCTTCAGGTAGGTTGGATTTGTTTTATTTAAATGATTTCTTCTTAAAAATTAATTTTTTCCTTTCTATTTTTAAAGTTTCATAGAAATACTAATAATTTAAAGGCCTGATAAAGATGGGGTGCAATTGGTACCAATAAGAATTCCTACCAAAGTACAGTTTAGAACTATTGCTGATAAACTGATAGTTTGAGTATTCCTGGCCAGTAATAACTATTATAATATTGTTTATAGAGAATCGCTATTTTCTATGGGAAAGGTTAATTTTTCAGTGCCTGGATGCAGTATTATTTGCACAAAAAGAAGAAGAAGAGGGCCATGGAGAAGAAAATGCAGCGAGCAGCACTACACCACGCCCATAGAATTCTGAGAGTCCACCTCAATGTGTGGAGGGTGAGACAATACCTTAAGTATAGTCTAAGCTTTAATAACTCAACAGGCTTATAAACAAAGAGCTATTACATTGAAACTTCTCAAAGCTGGCAACCCTGAAAACCTTCACCACTTCCAAAAAAATCAGCCCCACCTTTTCAGTTGTTTGATTTAACCTCAGATAACCAGCACTTGATCATCTAAACTGACCACTTGGTCTGTTCCAGACAGTGGTCAGCACAGAGACACTTTACTGTATTATATATATCTATAGTAACAAAACGAAGTGTTTCATTATCATAGTCATATTGGACAAAAAAGTCCTTTTATCTTACTAGTATACATTGCTGAATGTGATAATTTTTTTTTATTAAATAAATATACTTGCTTTTTCATTTAATATAATACAAAATAATGATGTAAAATATTTTAGGACTGGTTGAGATACAGAAAGGGATGCCAGGCCAGTAAGTTATAACCATAATTATTATACCTCTACTGATTTTTTCTTATGTAAAAGTTGTAGGCAGTAAGATGGGAATAATTCCCTAGAAATTTCTGTGAATGGACTAATCCCCGTGCGTTAGTCAAATGAGCTAATCCCTGCTTCGGAAGCTAATTCCCCAGTCATCCATTATCCTCAAGATTTTACTTTTGTATTGGTCTAATATGTTCATGGACTAATCCCCCCTGCATTAGTCCAGAAGCTATTTCCCGTCATTCATAATTCCCTTTTTTTTAATACTTTTGTATCGGTATAATAAAACAGTTAAAAAGTATATCATTGAGGGAGTTAGTAAGATTCCAGTTCCCCTCTTCCTGGACTATTTCCCTCGGCTGCACCTCGTAAAATAGTTCTGACCTTGGGGAACTGGAATTTTGCTAACTCCTCCCTCAATGATATACTTTAACTGTATACTGTAAATTAAAATATGATGTAAAAGAGTAATGTTCTGTTCTTAATAAACATAGTGTTTATGTATAATTGACATTTAGAGTTTTAGCTATGATATCTAGCTCAAACCTATCTCAGATTGTATTGTTGACCCCACAGTGATTAAGATTCATGTTCTGGGGTTTAACTGTATGAGAGCAAAGTGAGTATTTATTTTAGTGGCGTACCACAAGTTGAAGAGGATCTACTTTGTTAGTGTTGGAATTGTTCTCTTCCGAGAATGGCGGGCTGTAGCCAAGCGCAATAAGGACCAGAGGGAATACTTTGAGGTAAAGCAAACACCCCCCTCCCTTATCTTGTATATGTACATGTCCTAAAGCTTGATTTTTAAAACTACTGTATGAAACAATATAATGGTTTCACATTTTGTTTTTCACTTCTACAATGTTTAAACTTTTTGGAATTTAGAGCAAGTTTATGTTTTGTTACTAAAAATAGTAACAGAGCACTTTATTTTGATATGAATATTTTTTAAAAGACAGATTTGAGAATGCATGTGTCCTGAGAGCAGTAGTGCTTCTAGTAGCAATTTTAAGGAATCTGAATTATTTATTGTATGAATATCTCAAAGGTCTTGTGAATATGAAAAGCTTAATTTTTTTATATAAATTTTACGGCTGTGTGAAAAAAGTTTGAATTCAAGAATTATATTTTAATTGTTTAAAATCTAAATATTAAATGTAAGAGGAATCACTTCTAACTGCTAAATTATCAATATTTTAAATATATTTTGATAGTGCTATCTTTTTAAGCAGTATAATCGGTTTGTTTATAAATATAGCCAATCAAAATGTCCGACACATTTAACCCTGACCGTCTGTTCTATTTTTTGGTACACAGATGACACTGGTCAGTAAGACACGTCTTGGTGTCGTTTGGACTTTGGGCTTTGATTCTCAGTTTTATTTTTTAGACCTAAATGGGCTGGCTGATAAACTAACCGCTCAAGAGTTCTCACCCTTTGCTACTGGTTTTGGGTTTTTAAAATCTAACATAATATAAAATCATTTACTTAATTAATATAATTCATAGACAATTTCTCTTGTACTTTTGTTTGTCATATGAATTGAAATGTAAAATTGTTAAAAGATGCAGATGCAGAACATAAGAAAACCAAAAAAAATTCACTTATTTGATAAATCAATTTCTTTTGAAACTTAAATGACTCATTAAAATTCATGTTTTTTTTTTTTATTTTCAAGATATGTCATATAAATAAGACAAGTTACATGTAATCTACCAAAAGTTGAAGTAAGATTAAACTACAGTAAAAATCAATATTACCTTTTTATATACACATGAACATGTATATAATACTTTCTTGAGTCACTTATATATTTTAATGCAGTTTACTAATAACTCCTCGCAAAGAATCCCTACCTCAAAATTGTATCATATATATTTAGACATTCTTATTTCATTTGCTGTATATAACTTAGTTAGCAAAATATAAAGAAATGCTCTAGGAGAAAGGAAGCACAGCTTGTACTTCCTTTTAGTAGTGGGGTCAGAGGTCAGCTATATATAGGTCAATTCCTGTCTGTTGGAAATCCCATTTGGTTTTGCTTGATATCCATGCCAGCAGGGCGTTATAAGCACTGTATTTTGTTATTTGAATGTTAAGTTTTTGTTTGTACTCTAATTTTGACGGTGGCGCTCTCACATTTCACTTTTTAAAGATCAGCCTGCGGGTAATGTTGTTTTTACTTTGATGTACAACGTAATGCTGCTTGACACTGCATGCTGTGAATTAGCTTGATTAACCTGCGTGCTGCGTAAAAATAAAAACTTTAAAAATGTTCACGTTTTAGGGATTTTTAGAACAGTAGCAGATTCAATTACCAAATAAATGTAGCTGATTTTGATTTTTTTTTTCCACATCAATTTTGAGTAGTTTCATTAGATTTTTGTTTATAATTTACAATTTTTAAGACAAATGTAGATTGAAAAATGTCCTGTAAATTTAACTTAGCCAGAATAATAAGAGTATATTACATGTATGCTCTATGAAAACAAATTTGTTTGTTTGTCATACATGTTAAAACGTAAATTGTTCAGAAAATATCTGTATCTTTTTTATTTTTTGTAAAAAAAAAATTTAATTTGTAATGAAAATTAAGAAACTCAAAACACAATTTCCCCATTCTATCCCTAAATATCTGTGTGAATGTGGTAATGCCCTTATTCCCTTTTATATAGACTCCAATGTTTGACCTGCTGAATTCCTAAAAAAATAACCCACACCCTTTTACCTTCATTTCCCAAATTTATTACCTTACTCTATTTTTAACATTTCTTCATTGATATAAAATGAATAATATATCTTATGCATAAGAACTTGCATGGTAATTTCTAGTAAACTATTAATTACATGTACAGTAAAAATATTTGTAGTTGAAATATATGTTTCTAAATAATTTTATGTTTATGCAAAAATTCACAAAATAATATTCATATAATAGGCATGAATAAAATTTAGAGAAATACATATAGTTTATAAGTCTATGTATGTAATTTTTTTGGGCTTAATTTGTCAAATGCTCAGCTTCATGAAGAATAGATGCGCTTAATTGACAAACACAGATGAAATTGCAAATTTTGTGCGCATAGCTGCCGCTAAATTTTACAGCATGCATTGAAATTTTTATTACTGTTTAAAAAAAGACCAAAAAAATGTATATATACATATATTCAATATTGACAAATATTACAGTGCAAGTTATCTCCCCTCCAAACTTCATGATTTATCTCCTCTTTATTCTTTAATTTTCCCTTTGAACTTTCTGCTATATCTGTCAATATTAGCAAATTCCCTGATTGTTTTTCTTATAATTTAATCAAATGTAATTAATTGTGATCATTCTGACAAGATTAAGGAATATTTAATGAACCTGCTTAATTTAATTCAAATTAATTCATTTGAAGTATATTTTGTTTAAGTCATTTAAGATATTTATCTCCAGTTATACACCCTCAAAAGCAATAATTGTCACAAAAACTAAAGTCTTTTGAATTATATTCACCAGAAATATATGTATTCAGGAATATCAATTTCAGTCTCAAATGCTTAATATCATATTCATACATGTATATATACTAACAATGAATGAGGGTTTATATATAACTGACCAATGAAAAGTGATTTACCTCTGGTTACCTTGACTACAGAGACTGGAGAGGGGGGAGAATGTGGATGATGAAGAGACATTTGGTCAGGGAGATGGGGATGCACAGGACAAACTCTCTGGACAGCTGGGCATAGAACTGGCAGTAAAGGTACAGTACTATAAAATCCAGGGGAAATTCATGGTCAACGTATGGTAATTCAAAGAACAAGTAGAAATGTGTGGCCAAAATATATGTTTTTGTGAAACAAAGGCTAAGTTTGTGGTCAGAATTTTAGTATTGTGTAAAAAAAAAAAATATGGTATCACCCAGTTTCATACTTCCATGCAACGGATCACACTTTTGGATCACCCTTTCATGTTATAAATGTGCTTTATAAGATTAGTACATTTTGTTGATGTACCTTTATTTACCTTGATAGGTATTTAGTTTCCTGGACATTGCTGACCTAGCCAGGTGTGCCTGTGTGTGTAGATCCTGGAAAGTCATTGCCTACCACTCCTCTCTCTGGAATAGGGTAAGTCATGCTCAAATAAGATCTCTCTGGAATAGGGTAAGTCATCAAAGTCATCAAGGAATATTGTAAGTCATCCACAAATTAGATCTCTGTGGAATAGGGTAAGTCATCCTCAAATTAGATCTCTCTGGAATAGGGTAAGTTATCCACAAATTAGATCTATCAGGAATAGGTTAAGACCTCTACAAATTAGACCTCTATGGAATAAGGTAAGTCATCCACAAATTAGCTCTCTCTCTCTTGAATAGGATAAGTCATCCACAGACTAGATCTCTATGGAATAGGTTAAGTTATTCACAAATTAGATCTATCAGGAATAGGGTAAGTCATCCACAAATTAGATCTATCAGGAATAGGGTAAGTCATCCACAAATTAGATCTATCAGGAATAGGGTAAGTCATCCACAAATTAGATCTATCAGGAATAGGGTAAGTCATCCACAAATTAGATCTATCAGGAATAGGGTAAGTCATCTACAAGTAAGATTTTTCAGGTATAGTTTAAATCATCCACAAATTAGATCTATCAGGAATAGGATAAGTCATCTACATATAAAATCTATCAAGAATAGGTTGAGTCATCTACCAATAAAATCTTTTAGGAATAAGGTAAATCATCCTCTTTAGAATGGGATAAGCAACCTTCTCTGAATTGGACAAGTCTTCCACAAATATGATCAATAAGTCAACCCACTCTAGAATAAGTAAATTCATCCACTCTGAAATAAGTTCAGTTACAGTACCGACCAGACCCAACCTGACACCCAAGCAGTCCCAGAAAGCAGTCCCCGGGACTGCTTTGGGACTGCTCTGGGACCGCTGTGGGACTGCTCTGGGACCGCTATGGGACTGCTCTAAAAAGCAGACCCAGCAGTCCCAGCTGTCCCTGGGACTGCTTTCTAGGACTGCTTTGTTCACTCATGTGTGAAAAAGGTTCTGAGTGACATGATAGCTCCGCCCCTTGTGTATTCTGAATTTGCAGACTCCCAGTTGTTTTGTTTACTTGCAGCAGAAAGGAGTTTAAACTAGTAAAAAAACAAGGATTTCTTACAATCTTTTGATAAGTAGAGGTTATTATAATTAATTAGTATTTACAGAGACTGTAGATTTACTCAAATTTAATTTTTTTAAATAAAGTTAATTAATAAATAAAAAAGTCAGGAGAAGATTTTTATCCCTAAAAATAAACTACAGGTTTATTAGAAAAAATATCTATATGTAGGCCTATTTTTAATTTATGTAAAATTATGTGCACTCAAAATTTGCATTGGCACTATTTAAAAATAATCATTACAGTTAGATATAGGATTTTGATTTGAAAAGCTGAATGTTTTACGAGTACCATGCTAAAAAAAATATTCAATGCAACCCTCAAATAAAGCCTAACAATTCATAAAATGTCCAGGAAATAAAATTATGCTACCATTCTTCCATAACTTAAATAATATGAATAATCATTGGGAAATTTATTAATGAATAACCCGTAGTTTTTAATTTATTTACAAGTTATCAAAAGAGAAGATTTATTTTATAAATAAACAGTTGAAAATACCGGGAATTGTTATTTATTTTTTGTTTTCTTTGCTTGTGTTTAGCTGGCCGATTAATGTTTGTTAAATGGTATCAACACCCGTGGATTCAATCGCTTTAGGGCAGAAATTCAGTGCATGTTATTTGGGTGTACGTATCAGCGTTTCGCATCATTGAACATGCTGGTCAACAATGACCCTAATTTCAATCTACCGGTACATGTACGTAATGCAAAAAAAGAATTGTGTATGAATTTCTTTGAGGGTTAATTAATTTTGAACATACTCTAAGGGTTCCATTCTGGTGATTTACAGATGTACATTTTAACATTTACAAATCAAACACTTAAAACTGAGTGTCATGAGATAGAGAAATTAATGATAATTAAATTGACATGTCAGTAAAAATAATCATGACTGAAAAATAATTCTTGGCAAAATTCCTTTTGAGTATCCCGATGGTATGGAAATTTGCCATATTACGATGAGATCTAATTAAACCTAATTCTTACTGGTGGAAAATAATTAATTCACGTTTACTTTTCTGTATAAAAGATAAATATGGGAAAGAGTATTAATCACGGATAATAAAAAATTGATTCGGAATTATTAATATACCCGATAATTGTGATTAAATATTCATGTTCAGTTTAATTCGTACATGTACATGTACGCGTGAAGCTTCTTCCTTCCATAAATATTAATTCAATTTGTTTCTATACGCGTACTGTTCATAAATGACCTCCGCATACATGTAAGGATTCCTGGCATACAACCCAGAATCAATTTCTACTGCCTTTTATAATGCCATTGTTTATTGCAAATCTCATTTCTGAGTTAGCTCCGCCCATTAAATTAATAAACCCCGCCCACTGGGACTGCTGGGACTGCTTTCTGGGACTGCTGGGACTGCTCTCTGGGACCGCTGGGACTGCTGGGACCGCTCTGGGACTGCTGTGGGACTGCTCTGGGACCGCTATGGGACTGCTCTGGGACCGCTGTGGGACTGCTTTAGCAGTCCCAGAGAGCAGTCCCCGGGACTGCTCTGGGACTGCTATGTGTCAGGTTGGGTCTGGTCGGTACTGTATATACTTTAGAATAGCTGGAGGAAGTAATCAACCATCATCCTCACTAAATATGGAATATCATCCACTCTGGAATAGGTTTAGTCATTAAAGAAAAGAAGAGTAAGTCATCTACTCTGGAATAGGTTCAGTTATCTGCTCTGGAATAGGTTAAGTCATCTACTCTGGAATAGGTTCAGTCTTCTACTCTGGATAGGTTCAGTTTCTACTCTGGATAGTTTCAGTTTACTCTGGAATAGGTTCAGTCTTCTACTCTGGATAGGTTCAGTTTTCTACTCTGGATAGTTTCAGTTTACTCTGGAATAGGTTCAGTCTTCTACTCTGCAATAGGTTATGTTATCCACTCTGGAATAGGGTAAGGATATGTACTCTGGATTAGTTCATCCAAAGACTGAAAGCTTTTTATTCACAGTTAATACATGTACTTCATTTAACATTAGATCTTAATGAAATGAATATGTTGCAACATTATGCAAGAATAATTTCATGTTGTGGAAATGTTACTATTAAGATAGTTAAAGACTTGTTCGTGAGATGCATTTATTTTTGCATAGAAATTGGTTAGTTATTGATGTGTTTATCATAATCATAATATTAAAGGGCTGGCTTAAGGCTAGTAATAAATATTTTCTCCTTTCTTTTTCCAGCTGGATTTTAGTAAAGTGAGAAACAGGTAAAGTATGCATACTTGAATGTAATTATGATTTGTTTTTTTTTTAAAAATATCCAAGACTACTTGTATTGGAAAGAGTTTATATCAAAGATTTTTTTTCTCTCCTCAAGGTTGAAGTTGCATGCACTTAATTTACTGTTCTCTGTGTTTATAAAAAATAGGCATTAAAAATTAAATTAAAGAGATATTGTCTGAAAGTGTTTCACAATCCCTTCCCTATGCAGTTAATAAGATTCAATTACTTCTGATATTCTAATATCACATATAACTTTCATTTGATATTGCTTGGCATATCCAGTATAATTGTAGCATGTGATTTACCCTAATTTCTTAAGCAAAAAAGAACAGGAAATGAAATATTTGCTTTGATGTATTTAATTTCATAAACTTAAATCTAAGCCTATACAGTTCAAATAACTTATGCTTGATTCAAATATTTTTTTTATGTAACACCTTATGAATAATAAATTGATATTAATGCTTGAAGCAATATTAATTCAATATAATTCATTGGATGAGGAAATAAATTTACTGGGTTATGTGACATAATATAATGAAATCTTATGGGTGAGGGTAACAGGATAAGGTTTTGTAACTTTCTAAAAACAGCCATTACTAAGTTATTTCTCCATACATCTTTTATACCATTTGCAAAATTCTTGCCGTTTCTCTTTGTGTTGTTGTTAGCATTGTGAAAGTAGTGTTTCCCAAGTGTGATATAGACATTTGTAAACAGTTAATATGAAGTGAATCTCAGTGATACCTGACTCTTTATAATGCTAGGAATGGAATCTTTGTCTTGCAAAATACAGTCACATTATAGTCCTTCCATTTCCTACAATGTATGCAATAAAAATGATAACATTGACTCTTCATATTTTTAGGAATAGAATCTTTGTCTTGCAAAATACAGTCACATTATGGTCCTTTCATTATCATGCTATAAAAATTTTGATTTATTTTGTTTAAAATCAGAAATACTTCATTGTAAACTAATCTCCATGATGTGACTAAGCAGACAAATACATGTAATGTAAAGTTATTTCTGTCATTGTGATGGAAGTTAATTCAGTTAATCACTCCCACAATAGATGATTGGAAGCAAAGCTATGACATACAATTGAAAACAATATCATAATAGTATTTGAGACTTTACAGAGCTTCCATACTATAAAAAATTAAATTTACATGTAATTGTCATTGTTGTCAATAAACTTCACTCCCTACAAATACAGTTGTTTACATTTTTACCGTAATAAGATTATTTCATTTTCAAGAATCCCTTGTAAAACTTCTAGCATCATTTGACTACTTTTTACCCTGCCTCCCCTTGCACAATCAATAGAATCACATGTTTAATTTTAATATCAGTCATGGATGGGGTTAATATTGCATATTAACATGGACATTGAAACTAAATACACATGAACTTTATATGGACAAGACATAATCTACTACTTATAGGTTGGTTATTGCACAGCTGAAAACTAGTATACTTTGATACATGGATTTATTTCCTTCATTTTACGTTTTGAAATATATGTTTAAGTTAATACATCCCAGACAAAATTTTATCCTAAAATATATTTTCAAACTCATTCTTTTCATATACGTGTATTTATCATTCACATAGAAAATTTTCTTTCTTCTGGTTTTCAAATTGAAACAAGTTTTCAAAAATTGTTTTAAAAAGTTGCTAGTGTACAATGTTAGCCAAATTTTAAGGCACTTTGCTATCCAAAATCTTTGAAGTAAGTTGCACTGTATAAAATGTATTATGCTTAAATAATATAAGCCCCAGAGACAACTCTTTGATCAGGTCAAAGAACTGCAATAACTGTGTTGGTTTTTCCTTTTTATTTTTGGTGTGGATTTTTTCACTGGACCATATAGATTGGCCTATGGGTATGAGATATGTTATTGAAGCTATATGTTATCAGCCTTATGTATTTATCCACTGTATAACCTAACTCCAGAGAGTCAATTCTAGTGTAGTTTTCTACTCCTCTTAAAAACTCTATAATTTAGTGGTAATAGACTGTCCAAAATACAGTCATTATATTACCAGAAAAATGATGTTCTAGTGATGATAACTTAATCCTTTTCACCAAACCATTTATTAAGGCTATTCTTTATTCAGAGTTTTAAGTTCTAATCACTAAAATTATGGAGTTTTTGAGAAATACTTAAATGAATTCATTTCACAGGTGAAGGGGAAGTAACTCACAGCTTAATAAATCACAGTTATTGCCCTTTGTACATAATCTCTTTAGCAGCTTTCCTAGAGAAGACAGTGTATGGTTATTCACTTTTTGTGTCTCAGAGTATATGTCCTGTGAAAAGTAATGATGTACTTGTAAAATTTGTAGTGTACTGTTCTTGTGAAATGTCTTTCTTTTTTTGTAAAAAGTTAATGTTATTAACAAAGTCGGTAATTTAGTGGCTTAAACTTATCTTCAGATTTCTTTGATAAATTAAATATAGAAGCTTTTTAGATGTGCTAGAAAAATTGGAGGTTAAGAATTATTATTACTAAATGGCCACCAAATTTTTGCTTGATATAGATATGAATATACAAGTACATTTTTTGTATTAAAACAGCAAACTGCATTTCACATTTTTAAAGTGTAAAAAATAACTTATTCTTTAATTATTTCATTAAAAATTACTTGGAGCTTTAACATTTAAACTTAATAAAGGAATACAACACATTAAATTTTACCTATATTTAAACATGATTTCTTGTGCAGATAATTCACTTTCAGATTTATTTAGCTCACTTTTTATGGAGGTGTATTAGCCTAACTGTGTAAAATTTTAACAGCAAAACGAACCACTGATTTCATTTTTCATGAATTTTACCAACAGAGTGACGGACCTGGTGACTACTAAGCTCCTCTCTAAGTGTCGGCCCTACCTGATCCACCTCAGTATGCGGGGGTGTTCCCAGCTACACGCCCCCACCTTCGCGGCTCTCAGTGAGTGTAGGAATCTACAGGACCTCAACCTCTCAGAGTGCAAGGGACTGGATGTAAGTACTGCTAAGTTTGTAATTTAGTCAGTAGGATATTACATGCAGAGAAATTTTCTTCAACCTTTTTTTTGCACTTCATTATGGGTGGGCAAATTCAAATAAGACCAAATACAGACGGAATAGAACTTGAAGTTTGTATAATACATCTATGTATGGATTATTCAGAATGAGATGAAAATAATGTTCCTGTGTTTTAGTACATTGATTTTTTTCCTTTAGGATGAGTCTCTGAAGTTGGTTGTTAAAGGCTGTAAAATCATTCTATATCTTAACCTTTCCCACACATTTATAACAGATGCCTCCCTCAGGACCATATCCAAGTAAGTATAAAGGATACTGTCCCCTCCCTAAGAACAATATCTAGGTAAAAGTACTGTAGTAGATACTGCGGAAAAATTCTTGAATCCAATATAGTTAACGTCTTTTCCATCATAAGAAAAGTTTGCTGAGATTCTGTTCATCTCTCACTGTGAATATTTTCCCTTGTAAAAAATAAATTTATATTAACTCTGATTGCTACAACTCTAAGCTAATGGATAGATTTAAGCTGATTTTAATCATATTTGTAATCATATACAGATACTGTCACAATGTGCAGTACCTGAGTCTGGCCTACTGTAAGAAGTTCTCAGACCGGGGCCTACAGTATCTATCAGCCGGAAAATGTAGCAAGAAACTGGAGTACCTGGATCTATCCGGATGTCTACAGGTAACATGTTCTGCACAGCACTTACTGAAGTTATATAAAAAACAGACTCTTGGTAGAATTTTAAATGTTGCCATGATAAAACATATTGTGCACTGCCCAGACTGATTTTTCTGAAAGGACATAATGCTTTATGACTGATTCAGATAAAGTTTGTTTTATGATTTCAGATAACTCCAGATGGTTTTAAGAGTCTTTCACATGGCTGTACAATGCTGCAGACCTTAGTTCTGAATGAGTTCCCCACGCTGAATGATGACTGCATGATTGTGAGTACATGTACTAAGAGACTAAGAGCCTTTATATCAATGTTCGTACATTGTCAAAGTACAGTTGAACTTCAATCTGCCTCTTGAACACCCATATCTCAAATACCAGAACAATTTGAAGTGAGGTGGAAGTCCCAGTCTGATATAACTCTTCCAATATGGTACTTTAACCTCAATATCTTGAAAACTGGGATATCTTGAATTTTATTCTTGGTCCAAGGGTGTCGAGATAAGCAGTTTGAGTGCATGTACATTTTAAACCTGATCATTCATCATGAGGTAGATAATGTATTCCTTTCTGATCTTGTAGGCTATAGCTGCTAAGTGTACAAAGATTAACACTCTGTCTATCCTTGGGTCACCTCTGCTGACAGATGAGACATTCAAACGACTGGCCAACAACAGACATCTCAAAAAATTACGAATAGAAGGTACCAAATTCTGAAACTTGTGTAATACATGTGTTATATGATGAAAGATTAAATTGTCAGAATTTAATTAAAAAAATTAAATTATTCAAAGTTAGAGTCTGTCAGGCAAGATTTTATTTTAGGTTTCTTTGGGAAATTTCTTTTCCATAATTATGTTCTATCTGGCAGTGCATGACAATCTACTGTTAATTACAAAACAATTTTAAGTTGAACAACCCCCAGTAAACTATCACATGTTTACAGAAAATTTAATGCTTTAATGTATAGTACTCTAGATAATATCCCTTTTTTGCTGTATTTCAGGAAATCAGAGAATATCAGACCTTTCCTTGAAGGCGATCGGTAAAAACTGTACAGACTTAGAACACCTGTACTTGGCAGACTGCCAGAGACTGACCGACGCGTCACTGAAGGCCATCGCAAACTGTCCGAAACTTGTCGTCTGTAACATAGCTGATGTTGTCCAGTAAGACCCAGATTCTTTGATATACGAAATTCAAGAGTATTATATTCACATAATAAAGAGGTGGTAAAAAAGACAACAATGTTATTAATTCTGAAATTCAGCGAACTTAAATGTAGATGATGGAAAAATTTTACATCAAGATGATTTAGTCAATGATATTAAAACAAGCATATACATGTAAACTGAACTGCATTTCAGGTAATTTTTAGCTCTACTGGTGAGAGACTAGAAGAGCTTATGCGATAGTAATGCGTCCGTCGTCCGTCCGTCTGTCTGTCTGTCTGTAAACAATTTTTCAAAATGCTACTCCTCCTACAGTTTTGGTCCGATTTCAATATAACTTAGCACACAAGTAAACTACACTAATATACATAATTCTATGCATCGGATTTTGATTTCGATAAACGATGTTCCCGTGGATACTAAAAATAGAAATTTCTGTGATATTCTTTCGAAATGCTACTCCTCCTACAGTTTTGGTCCAATTTCAATATAACTTGGCACACAAGTATGCTACACTAAAATACATAATTCTGTGCATCGGTTTTTGATTTCGATGAACTGTGTTGCCGTGGTTACTTAAAATAGAAATTTCTGTGGAATTCTTTCGAAATGCTACTCCTCCTACAGTTTTGGTCCAATTTCAATATAACTTGGCACACAAGTAGACTACACTAATATACATAATTCTGTGCATCGGTTTTTGATTTCGATGAAAGGTGTTGCCGTGGTTACTAAAAATAGAAATTTCTGTGAAATTCTTTCAAAATGCGACTCCTCCTACAGTTTTGGTCCAATTTCAATATAACTTGGCACACAAGTAGACTACACTAAGATACATCATTCTGTGCATGGTTTTTTGATTTCGATGAACGGTATTGCCATGGTTACTAAAAATAGAAATTTCTCCTATAGTTTTGGTCCGATTACAATATAATTAGGCACACAAGTAGACTATACTAAGATACATAATTCTGTGCATCGGTTTTCATTTTGATGAGTGGCAAGGATCATTTTTCTATTTATTGCTGTTTTAAAGTTTCAAGTCCCAACTGCTACTTTTCTCTTCCTTTGATTTAAGTATAAACCAGTAGAGCTACAGTCTCGACAGAGACTTCTGGTTCATGTATGTTTTTTGGGACAAAGGAGATCATGCATCTCATATTTGATTTACTTTCCAGAATAACGAACACGGGGGTACAGAACTTAGCCGAGGGTACGTGTGCTGCTTCTCTGAGAGAACTGAACCTGACCAACTGTATACGAGTGGGAGATATGGCCATGTTTAACATTAGAAAGTAAGTCTTAATGATAACCATACTAAGGATTGGCCAATCTGTTAAAATATTCATCTGCAGATCTATATAAAAGAAAATTGGTTCAGAAGAGCATTGATGAGTGCTCTTTATGTTAAATCGGTTAAGACTTACATGGTACTTATAGACTTACAATTTTGTTTCTCAGGTTTAAAAATCTGGTGTACCTAAGTGTTTGCTTCTGTGAACACATCAGTGAGAAATCAGGAATAGAACTTCTTGGTCAGTTGCATGCTTTAGTTTCCCTGGATATTTCTGGATGCAACTGTTCTGATGAGGTAAGGGTGATTTTAAATGTGTCTAACATTGGTGTTGTACATGTTCCAGTTCTGTTATTTCCCTATACATTGCATGATATGATAATCTTTGCTAAAATGATGCCAGTGATATGACATTTTAATTTTGTTTATCTAAGGGTTTATCTTCATTGGGAAAATACAACAATCATCTGAGGGACGTAACTCTGTCTGAGTGTGCAGACATCACTGACTTAGGACTGCAGAAATTTACACAACAGTGTAAAGATATAGAGAGGCTGGACCTCTCTCACTGCAAGGTAATATAGAATTTTAAAAAATGTATATACATGTATTAATTTATTTATTTATGTTTTGTTTTCACAGTTGTGAGAATTGACAAATACATTAATTTTATAAAACCATTCATCAGATTATAATTAAATTCTAAAAACATTTTGGTTTATATTAGCATAAATTCTAGGGTTGCTATGTAGGACTTTTCTGTAGAGACACATGTACAATATGTCAATTTTAAGATGTGTTTTGTTAAGAATAAGATCTTCATAAATCCCTCATAAGCTTGTCACCTTCTCTTTCAGTTGTTAACAGACGGTGCCATAAAGAACCTGGCCTTCTGTTGTCGATATCTGACCTCCCTCAACTTAGCTGGCTGTAAACTGGTAAGTTATATGTCAAGACAAGATTACATTGTAAATATAAACTGAATCTTATTATATAATTAAATGCTTTCTCATTTGTTGCTTTGTTGGAGTGGGTTCTGATATATCAATACATTAATTGAAATAAATGATATTTATCTTAATTTTCCCCAAACCATGAAAGCTTGGCCACATGAAAAAAAAAAATGTAATTTTATGGCACACCTTTAATAAGCATACTTGCCTAAAAAATGTAGAGGAATCAAAACAATTGACTTGCAAATGAGAAATATCCTGTACTATTGTTTATTACAGATAACTAACCTGAGTATTCAGTACCTGTCTGGAGTTTGTCATCATCTTCACACCCTGGACATCAGTGGCTGTATCATCATCACGTAAGTCAAGCCACAGAGGGTTCAAATAAATAGGTTAGATCTTAACAGGTCATCCAGCTTACATAATATGTTAAAATACAGTTTATTTTTGTCTTTTATATCAGGTTTATATCTTTTTTTATTGGACACTGAATCTTTTCAGGTACCTGGATTGGATTACTAGCATTTTTAATTTTTGAAAAAAATATAGCAGATTCTTTGAATGTTTATCAAATGTTTAAAGTATCATAGTCATGGGGTGTGATAAATGCATGCATTCTTTCTTTCAGAGATAAGGCTTTGAAATATCTACGCAAAGGCTGCAAAAAGCTGAAGTATCTAACCATGTTATATTGTAAAGGAGTCACAAAGTACTTATAAGTTTTCTTCCTTATTTGCCTAAAAATTGCAGTACCATGAAAATATACAACTGAGGTTTATAGGAGTTCTTCCTTCTTTAACATTTTATAGTTTTGACTTTTATAATTATATGAGTTCTTCCCCTTAACAAAGCATTTTTTTTGTGACTTTTACAAAATTAACACAAGTTCTTCTCTCTTGTTAAGCACTTCCTTGTTGATTTTTACAGGCATGCTGCTATGAAGATGATGAGACACGTTCCTGCCTTAAAATACAGTGATGACGAAATACCAATCTATTATGGATATAAGTGAAACTGACATTTAATACATTGGCTTTTTCGTAAAAGGATATACCTTGTACCTCTGTCAACACATTTTTTGACTGTCAATAAGTCATTTGTTTGCTGAGAATGGACAAGGCAGATACATACACAAATCCAATATTGTTCATATCAGGACTAACTGCTGGTCCCAGACTATGAAAATTCAGAGTGAATTAATTTATATCCAGAAAAAAACTGATTCATTTTTCATGCTGTGATACATGTATTTTATAATGAATGTTTTCAACTTTGATGAATTTGAGAAACTTTATCAAGGGATGTTGAATGTTTTATCAAAAGCTGCATGATTTTTTGTAAAGACTTTTTTTGTAATGAAACATTTTTTAATTTATTGATATTAAATGGTGCATAAAATATCTGAATTGAATCTGATTTTTTTTTTTGTTCACTGAAGAACACGTAAGTGCTAGTTCTTGCCCATAATTTTGAAAATTAAATTTAATAATGGAAAGGTCAAACAACAATTTTATGCAGTATCCATTCAAAAATATTGTTTGTGTCCCTCAGTCAATAGGATGTTGTATGTGAAGTTATAATTTCATCGTTTCACGGCTCCAATATTATTCAGAATTTTGATCCCGATTCATGTGAAATCTTTTGCAAGTTTGACTTGTACTAGTACAGCGTAGTAATGAGATACGATATCAGAAGAAATGAGGCAAGACAGTCCTAGAGAATGCTGCATGCAGTATTTAATTTAATCTCATAAATACTTGTAATGTACAAGCTATATAAATAATCAACTTTGTAAAAAAACAAGATATAAAATGGTATGTATATATGAGATAAAAGTGTGATAGTTAGTTGAAAATGAAAGCTGTATCAGTCGATAACCTTCCATTCATTCAGTATAACGTGTAACACAGTCTCTACTTCACCGTCTTCATTCTGCGTCGTCAGAGTGGACATCTGGATCCCCCCCGCTGAAGAAAAGAGCACTTCACTATTATTCTGGGCAGTGGACACATCATTATTGTCAGACGTGGACATATTCACATTGTCAGAGGTAGACATTTCATTATTGTCTGGCGTGGATGTTGCTGTACTATTTTCTTTCACTTGTTCCACTCCCCCCTCTTTCTTTAAGCTCTGACTGATGTGATCCTCCAGGTTTACGATCGGAACTCTTTCTAATTTCCTGCTCCGGATCTCGATCTGGTCCCCGTGCTGCTTGACTTTGTGTTTGTGAAACGAGCCGTGATCTTTGAATTTCTCCGGACAGTACAGACAAACAAATGGGGTTTCTCCAGTGTGGGAGTTCATGTGTTCCTTCAGATACTGGAAGCGACTGTATGTCTTATTGCAGATGTTACACATGTAATCTTTCAGTTTAGAATGGGCTGCCAAGTGTCGCTGTAATTCCACTGTAAAATAAGCATGACGTTTTCTTTCACCAAAGAGTTGGAAATCCCAACCACCTTTCATAAAATTTTTCTAAATTTCATTATTGAATAGTTTTGAGTATCTGTTTTTCCCTCTACGTCCCTCTGAGTTTTGGTTTTCTTTAAGTATTTTACCTTAAATATAACACACCCTCACATTTCTTGATTTTTAATTTTCCATCACATCAAGTACAATTTAACAAGATTAGACTGTACTTACTTTTTGTACAGAACGTCATGGTGCAGTCTTCCTCCCCACACTTGAAGATCTTGACCTCGTGGTGCCGCCGTTTATGGAGTACCAGATTCATTCTGGTCCTGAAGCCCTTACCGCAGACATCACACTGGTGGGGCTTCACCCCCTCGTGGATCCTCAGGTGGGCCTGCAAGGGGCCGCTCTGGGAGAAAGCTTTGTCACAGCGCTCACATCTAAATTAACATAACAGAACTATTATACTACAAAGAAAATCATTAGTCTTAGCCAAGATTTAGCTAGGTTGGATATTTAGACTGACAAGATTAGGACAATACTATCTTTAAAAAAATTTTTTGGTTGCCCTTTCCTGACCTGCTAAAAGTTGCCCCGACTAAAATCTTTACTCAGCACTGTAACTTCTACAAAATGATTTTTTTCTTTTACTGGTATTTCCTGAATTTTCCCATTGCCTCAACATATTTGCTGAAATTTAACATTATTGTTTTAACATGGCCTTACTTAAATGGTTTTTCCCCTGTATGGATCCTCATGTGGACTTTGAGGCTCTTTTTCTCAGTGAATTTAGTGTCACAGATTTCGCAGGTGAACGGTTTGATTCCCTGGTGGTACTTCTCGTGGCGCTGGAGGTTACCTTTCGTGGTAAACGTGTCTGGACACATAGAACACTGAAATGGACGTTCTCCTGTGTGGGACCTCGTGTGGACTAAAAATAGAAACAGGAGTGGGGGCCTAGTGTGGACTAAAAATAGAATCTTGTAATTGTTTGAAATACCTACAAGGATTTTTGAAGTGTTTTGAATGTGTGTCATTACTTAAATATTGCAGCTTATTTTCTTAATAAAAATAAGACATTTTATCATCAATGACATACATACATAATGGATAGGAAATCAGAATTTCATTAATTTTACAGAAAGCTGCACTTTATTTGTACTCTGCAATATTCATAAACTGTAAAATAAATATTAAATACATCAGTTTATCCTACCATCCAGTGCTCCCTGACTAGACAAAGTTATGCCACATGTTTTACAGTCGTAGGTAGCCTTTGACATCTCCTCCTTCGTCCTGCGTTTTCTCCTACACTTCTTCGGAAGTGGAAAACTGAGAGCTTCAAACTCCTGATCTTCTACGGCTTCCTTCTTCACCTTCACCTTCCTCTTCCGTGTTTTCCTCCCAGGTGTCAGTATCACTTGGACTGGTTCCTCCTCCTGGCCTGGATCATCTCCCCCATTATAATCCTCTTCATCAACTGTTTCCAGAACCTCATCTGGAACTTTAGAATAACTGTGTCCTTCATACAAAAATCCCTGCTTCTTTATAGATTTCCTCTTCTGTTTTTTCTCTTTTTCCTCTTTCAGTTTTTGTAGTTTTTCTTCCTTCAGCTTTTCTTTTTTAGATATGGCTATAGGATCAACATCAGGATCTGTCTGGGTTCTTTTCACACGCATGTTTCTTTTGTATCTTATTCGTTTCGGCCTTTTGTTTTCTTTTTGGTTTTTATCACTCACTGGCATCTCTACATTCTCAATCAAAATCTCTTGTGACACAACATCCGATGCTTCCAATGCATCATCACCGTCTTCTTCAACATCACCCTGGGAGCTGACTGTCCTTACACTACCCGCGGCTATGATCTGTTCGTCCTGTGGAAGAAGAATCACAGGTTTTACCATCACCTCGCTCGACTCCTCATAATGTAAATGAACACTCTGAACACTGTTAGGGTTAGAGATCAGATCGGAGAAGTCTAACGTTGATATAGGGGTGAACACTGTCGTATACGCATCAGTCAATGTCTGAGCCGCCACCTCAGCCTCATTTTCAGTCGTCACAGGTTTCCCTGGGCTTCCTTTGCTAGAAGTTTTACCATTGTCTTTTTTTCCTGTTTTCTTTTCTGCTTCCTTTTTGACAGAAGGTTTCTTGCTTACTTTCTTTTTATCCTTTGATTTCTTTTTCGATTGACTTGATTTGTTTTCCTTTGTGGAATTAGATTTTTTCTTTGACTTAGTTTTAGGACTTGGTAACACTTTTATTGGTGATATCCCTGGGGTTGAGAAGAATGGGGCAGGTACTGGTGCCTGCTGATCCACAAGGACATCAGAGGGTGGAGCAAAAGGTGTGGCTTCATCGATACAAGACTGGGTGAATAACTTGACTGTCTGAGTCACTATCTGCCAAAACTGCCAAGCCTCAGCCTTATACTGCGGAGGTATGTGTAATAAAAGCTGTATAGCTTCCTCAATCTTTAGAAGAAAATATAAATTCATATTAATAGCAAGCTAGGGTAATTATTTCATAAAACAAATTCTACACCTTGAAAAAAATAGTGTATTGACATGTTTATTTTTATTGAATATAAACTGATGATGAATATGAAAAAAAATTGTAAGCATGGTAATTTAAGTAAATCTCTATGAATATTTAAACTAAGGAGGTTTTAAAAAGCAATCCAAAAGCAGAGTTTATGCATTACTGCATTTGAAGACTATTAAAAATGTAATTCAATTGTTTGGGTAACTATTCCCCAACTTTATGTGGTGAGGCATGAATAAGTATACTTCACATTGTGCTGAATAATCACCGATCCATTATTATGTTAACCAGAACTGGAATTCTTAACTTCATTCAAAAGGTTATTTTAATTTATGTATTTAGCCCTAAAACTTTCACTTTTCAGTTTCAGCAGAACAAAAGACACTTCTTAAAGAGTGATTTTAGCATGAATTGATTCAAATAAGTTCACTTCAAAATTGAAAATAATCACAGCATCAAAATGGACTTTTTTTGCACATATCCTAAAAAATGCTTATTAAAGAAATAAGAATGATTTGGTAGCTAAATAAAGCTACTTCAGGTAGGTAAATAAAGCCATGAGTATGTAGGTAATGTAAATATAGTGATTGTACTGGATCTCCTCATCTGTCTGGTGGAATAAGTGTAAACAGCAATGATTTTCTCCTCCTTTTCGGAAATTTCCAACAGTGCATGCTGTCATACATACCTTAGATTTATATGTTACCAAAATATCCTCAGAAGTGATGGCTATTGTAGCCATATTTCTCAAAATGTCATTAATTTTACATATCCAAATATATTTTACTATTCAAAATCAATTAGGAAGAAGAATTAGCTGCATAATATAGAGAACCAAGGCATGGACAGAGAAATGATAAATCCGGAAAAAATATAAGTTCACCGTCCAAGAATTGCATGGCCACCACGTATTTTTTTTTTGTCCCCCGCTGAAAGTTGGGAATTATTTAATTTAATTCCCTGGAATAATGGACTGTCCGTCCATCTGTCTGTCCGTCGATCAGTCTAGTTGTCCGTCTGTATTTCTGCCTGTTACACCTTTCGTTTCTACGCTATATCCCGATTCCTTAGCCTTTGAGCTTTTGCAATGAAATTTTACATGTACCAGAGACATAAAAAAAAATGGTTTTTATGTCTCTGATTTTACACAATATCTTTCTATGGCCTAAGGAATATCCCTACTGATTTTGAGATTAACAAGTCAAAGATCAAGGTCATAAATTCGAAAATTCTTTCTATTATTAGTTTTTTACCATAAACACTGGTCTTAAAGTTTCGTTTCCGTGCGATATCTCGAGAAGCCTTTGACATGTTTGAGCTCTTGCACTGAAAATTTACACATTAACTCCCTATGGCCTAAGAAAGATCCCGATTGATT